GTGATGGTTTATATAAGGTTAGATATTGTTCATGTAGTTGGGCTTGTGAGGAAATTTATGAGTAATCTAGAAAAGAAGTATTAGAGCATAATAAAATAAATTTTTTGATATCTAAATGATTATTTAGATTTTGAAATCTATTTTGATCGATAAAGTTATCTTTCTACTATTAGATTTGTTGATATAGATTTTACTAGAGATTTAGATTAGTAAAGATCTATGACGAGATATGTTTTCATCATGGTTGGTTGACATGTGAGTTGAAAGTTTATACTTCAAATTACTGTTGCATTATCTACGACTAAGATGGAGTATAAGGTAGCTACTTAAGCGATCAAAGAGGTTTCGTGATTGAAGGGGTTATTGAGTAAACTTAGGATCTAACAAGATGACGTTTCTCTACATTATGATAATTAGAATGTTATTTTCTTTACAAATAATCATATCTATCATGTACAATCAAAGTATATTAATGTGTGATATCACAAAATCGGTGAGTTAGTGAATTCTAAAGATATCTCTCTAGAGAAGATTTATATGGAGGAGAATGCTGTAGATATGTTGACAAAGGTCATTATAGAGATAAAGTTCAATTTTTTTTTGAATTTGATTAATGTTGTAAATACTTTGTAGAAGGTGGAGAACTTACAACATAAAAGAACATTGACTTCAAGTGTAATGATGATGGTTTTCAAGGTAAGGTTTGTTGACAATGTCAACCCATAATGTTTGACTCATTTGGGAGACATGCAAAGAGTGAAAGACAGTGTCAGTTGTCACCTCATCCCTATTAACTCATTTGGGGGTTATGTAGAGAGAGAGTGGGAAATGAGGATGGTTGAAATCATTACCTCTAATATGTGTGGGCCTACCCACACGTAAGTCAAAATTGCTTCCTTTTAGATGGGCGGTTACTTTTTCTCTTTTTCTATAAATAGGACATGTATTTCATCTTTTATGAGTACGATGGACGACAAGATCTATCTCTCTCCTTTGATTTTATTTTCTCTCTCCATCAACTCTCTTCTTCTTTCTTTTATTACAAGTAAAATCTTTATAAAAAGAGATAAGAGTCTATTGTTGACTTTCTAGTGAGTGGGTCACCTCGAGGACATTGAGATGTGCATTAGAAGTGTTTGGTGAAAGTCTTGTTCTCATTAGAATTCTTGTTTAGCTTGATGATCTCACTTTTATTTATTTTACTATTATGTTATTATTATGATATTATGCTTACATATTTATTCTTATAGTGCACAATAATGAAATTGACCCTTCTTTACTGAATTCAAAATTAGATGAAATTTTGTAGCTTTTCTCATTAGAATACCTTGAGTTTGACTTTTCTATTAGCCATACTGATGTGCATTATTTTGATTTAATTTATAATTTTTTTTGATGAGCTGACAAGGAAAACAAGGAAGCTCCTTCTAGGTTTTAAATTATCTAATGAGTTTGAGGGAGAGGTTGGGCAAGAGGCCCTCACATACTCATATCTTTTTCACTATGACGCTTTCTTCATCCTTTTCTTCACATGCGGTACCCTTGGCTGGCGTCCCCACTAGAGATGCATTCAGGAGTGCCAGGAAATGTGTATGTGCCACATACTTAGCATGTATCTACATCTCTCCTTGCATGCTTTTATGCTTATGCTTTTGCCTTTGTGCCTATTTTCCTACGTACTAACACCGACAACAACATAGTCACCATCGAGGGATTTATTAGCTTAATTCTAGTTAGCTCCTTAGCTATCATATTTCTAGTTATTTTATCTTTAGTCTTCTATAACTAACCTTGGGTAGTACTCAAAATTTGAGAAATATCACTTATAGAGGATTTTCGAAGGAATCTAATCAGATTTTCTTTAGGCATGAGCTAGAGTCGATTTTTTACACATTCAAAGTCATTAGGTGTCATCACTCCTTTCATTAAATAATAGAATGTGATTATTTGGATTTCATTTTTCATAAACTTTTAATTTGACGACTTGCATTATTCATGTTGTACAGTTTTCCTAAATCTAATCCAAGGAACTTGCAATAAATATAGAAGGAGAGCTTGTTTTATTGCTATTGGGTAGAAGGAATATAGTAGGAAATCTATGGCAGCTGAAATGTTGAAAATGAGCATAGCATAGCCCCTTGGTCCAACAAGTGATGTGACAAAGACTATTTTTCTTCAGCAAAAATTGGTGGAAGATTTTCGATGTGACACCCTTCAAGAACATAATTTTAAGTGACACTCCCAACAAAATAAATCCAAGAGATTGGCACATGTGGAAAAAAGTATCATGAAACAAATAATAGAAATTGTAAGAGAATAAGAATGATGGATTAAATACATCTATCCTTTACTCCAACTAGGCTACATTAACATATTATAATATCATAAAACCTTGTTTAGACGAGTCAATGTAACTTTGAAACATTTTTAATATAATAGTCATATTGGGCTATATTGTGGGGGTAAGGTTATTGGGCTTTCTAAGTCTAATTACCTATGGGTATTAGATCAAGCCACTTACACTTGGCACACAATTTGATAGCTAGTAATCCAATTAGCTAAGCATAAATAATATATTTATCCTCCCTCTAACTCAAGATCCCTTAAATCTTTTAATTTGGTTCATAGTGATGTATGGGGACCAGCACCAACATCGACCATGTATGGTCGTCATTGGTTCATCACCTTTATTGATGATTGCACTTATATGACATGGGTATGGTTGATGAGTTATAAATTTGAAGTGACTGAAAAATTGAATGTATTCTTTCTAATGGTGAAACAATAATTTAGTATCACCATTAAATATTTTAAAACTAATAATGTAAAAGACTACATCAGTAAGAATTTAGTCTAATTTTTTCTTATAAATAGAGTGGTTCATGAGACATCTTGTGTAAACACTCAGTAAAATAGAATTGTAGAGAGAAAGAATCAACATCTATTAGAAGTGACTAGAGAACTCATCCAAGGAAATATTTCAAAATACTTGTGGAGGGAAGTGCTACTTATGGTCACCCACCTAATTAATAGATGGCTGTTGAGAATTTTAGACAATAAAAGTTCTATTGAGGTCCTAGAGTCTCATATTCTAGGAGTAAAACTCAAAACCAATCTCATACCCAAAGTATTTGGATATGTGATTTATGTACACTTATATCATATGAAGAAATTAAACCTAAGGGCACTTGTGTATTTTTTGGCTACTCAAAAACTATTACAAGACTATTTACACCCTTGTAAAATTCTATATCACTCTAGACGTCAGCTTCAATGAAGGTGAAAATTATTACAAGACTAATGAGGCCTTAGAGCCTTCACCTTTAGAGAAAATAGATGATATAACCACATCTCAAGGAAGTTATTTACTCCCTTGTGATGAGGGGGAGTCACAATCACAAAAATTAAGTGTAGAAAAAAGATTTGAATAAATATATATGAAAAGAAAGAGTGAGCAAACCTCACTTACTACTTCATTAAAGGATCTAACTCATGAGCTTGTGCTAGATCCACCACAAGAAAATGTAGTAAACTTGTTGGTCCGTCAAGACATCAATAAGAATATTACTTATCCATTACATAATTATTTTTTCTTGCATTGATTATCTGTATAGCCCACTCTTCATTCTTATGAAAGTAGGCTCCATTCCCATTTCATCAACACTTAATGAAGCTATAAATAATATAGAATGGAAAATGGCTATGAAAATAGAAACAAATACATTGATTAAAAGTAACACATGAAAACTAGTTAAGCTCTCGAGCGATAAAAGAATTGTTGGGTATAATGGGCATTTACCATTAAGTATAATCCCGATGGAATGTTAGAAAGGTATAAGGCTAGATTGGTAGCAAAAAAGATATACAAAAAATTAGAGATTGATTATGATGAAACCTTCACCATAGTAGTAAAATTAAACACTATGAGGATTTTAATCTCTATGGCAGCAATGAAAGGATGAAAACATCAATTAGATGTGAAGAATGCTTCCTACATAGCTCCCTAAATGAAGAGATCTATATAGATACCCTCCAAGTTTTATGGAAGAGAAAAATCAGCAAATGATGTGTAAATTAAATGTCTTTATATAAACTTAAATAGTCTTTGAGGGCATGGTTTGGCAAACTCTTGGCCATTATGTATGAGATAAACTATCGTCAAAGTAATGGTGATCATACACTTTTCTTTAAACACTCTAGAAATGAAGTTTCTATTTCATTAGTTTATGTTGATGATACTTATTGGTGATGACTTATTAGAAATATGTGTTGAATAATAAATTATTTGTATGCTTTGAAATTAAAAGATTGGGAAATTTAAAATATTTTTTTGGTACCGAAATTGCATACTCTAAATGTAGTATTTTCTTATCTCAGCTTAAATATGTCTTAGATTTACTTAAAAAACCAGAACTAGTGGTAGTAAATCAACAACCACTCCCATTGACCTTGATAAGATATTGGGTCAAGGTGAAGATAGCCCACTAATTAATAGAAGAAGGTATCAAAAGTTGATTAGTAAATTGATCTATTTATCTCACACTCAACCAGATATTACCTACACGATAGGATTATTGAGCTAATTTATGCATGACCCTAGAGAAGTACATAATGTTGCAGCAAGATGAGTCATTCTCTATTTAAAGGGTACACCTAGTTATTGGCTCTTATTTCAATCACATAGACATACTAATGTGAAAATGTTCATTGATGCTGATTACATAAGTTCTATTGTAGATAGACTATCTACTTCAAGGTATTACGCATTTCTTGGAGGGAACCTCATCACTTGGCGTAGCAAGAAGTGGCCAATGGTTTCAAGATCCAACACTGAGTTCGAACTTCAAGCCATGCCACAAGGGGTGTGTGAAGCATTATGGATTAAAGGGATTTTGAAAGACCTCAAGATCTAATATGGTTCACCCAAAAAATTCTTCTATGACAACAAGTTGACTATAGATATTGTTCACAATCTCATACATCATGATTAGACCAAGCGTATGGAGGTGGATTGTCATTTCATCACGAAGAAGATAGAAAATGGGATCCTCGTTATCCAACATGTTAGGTCCAAAGAGCAATATGCAGACATCTTCACCAAAGGATTACATGGACCTACTATGAGAAGATTGTTAGTCAAGTTGGAGATGGAAGATATCTATTTCCCAACTTGAGAGAGAGTGTTAGAATAGTGATATTGGGCTACATATGTGGGGATAAGGTTATTGAGATTGCTAAGTCCAATTACCTATGGGTATCGAATTGAACCACTTATACTCGGCACACAATTCAATAGTCAATAATCATGTATTAAAGGGTCACAAATCTTAATCCTAAAGTAATGAAGTTCTTTTTCTTGTCTCTCTCTTTCTCTCTAGCGGCTCTCCTACTTATTCTAGCAGCTGTGCCCTAGCCTAAGGTAGGAGAAGCTTCAACAATTTTGAAGATCAAACACAAGTTTAAGTAATAGATGTTTATGTTATAGGAAAATACATTGATACCTTGTAGTTAAAGGCCAATTGTTAAACTATTATAAAGTATTTTTTATATTACAATTTGAACAGACATAACCACCTAATTCAACAAGATAGGGTGCGAAAAGGTGTGGCAAACATGTTTTTCTCTAACATACTGCTCACAATTTTTTTGGTATTTTATAATATTTTCAAACATTTATTGAGTGGGTCTACACATTGGTAAACACATTAAATTGGATAACTAGTTTTGGATTTAAATTTTTCATTAGTAATTAATCACATAAGATTAAACAAAAAATCTCTTTGAAATATATTTCAAAGGACTAACCCAATAATCTAAATATAGTTTATTTTGTTGCATGTGTTTTTAAGCCTCATATGATGAATATTTAAACCACCAAATCTAGTTTTTTTTTTCATAAATGTTTTGAAGACTCATTGAATAAAAAAGATGTCACAAACATTTATACATTAAAACAAATCATAGCAAAAGAAAATGATTTAGAAGAAAACTAAGAGGAGAGAGAAAACCTACTGACCTATGTGTTGACTTACTAAAATGTGTGCGTCTATTTAAGAAACGTGAGAATGTGTCTACTAATACAAGGGTGTGTTGACATATCAGGGTTTAGAGAAAGAAAGTGTGTCAACCCATGGGGCCAACACAATCAAGTCAATTAGCATGTTGATTTAGTGTCTACCCATCCAACAACTTAGTGTGTTCATGTTGGATTTAATGATTCTGATGGTACTTCATTAATCATATAAATCTCATAGGAAAAATTATTTTACAACATATCGACAAATATATAATCATCAAGTCAAGATCTAAATCTTTAGATCCAGTTTTGTTTGTTGTTGAAATATGAATTCTAAGCCTCAAATGAGAAAAATATATAACAAGAATCATCTAGCTAGCTAAATCAACTTATGAGTCATCTCCCTTCGCAAAAAATAGATATTATTAACCCTAAATTATCCTGAAATCATATACACCTTTCTAATGGTTATAAAAAAAATTCTATGTAAAATTACTATTTTGCCCCTCTATTTGTTCTGTTGTAATAAAGAACAAAGTATCACAAATACAGCTCCAAAATCTCAGCATCTCATTCCACCTTCTTGGGACATTACTTGCCAACAAACCTAGTTTCCTTTTACTCCTTTCTTCATTAAAGTTGTAGTAAGAGACACAAGTTGGTAGATCTTCTTTGACTAACCATAAGTTTGTTGAGATGATATTGAAATAATGACTTTACTTCATGGTGTCACTACATCAGAGTTACACCTCATCTCCCCACAAATCCTTTATCATCAAGTTTTAATACTATAGTTTTACCAACGACTAGACACCTACCTCTAAGACACCATTCTAAAATCATGGTATGGATATACCCCTAGTGCAAACCTTGCATCTAATAGTATGACATATGTCTAATAACCATATTTTTATGCATTCAAGGCTAAGAAAATAACATGTCTATTGCTTTATTAGAACAATATGGAACATATTCTTTAAATGCAAAAGATGATGTATGAAAAGACATTTTTCTAACCTTCATCAGGCTCACATATAAATTTGTCAAATATTTCATAATGAATGATATGTTGCTTCAAGTATTTCCATGAAGATAAGAGAAATCAACAGAAAATTGACCCTAAATATGTTCTTATCAACCAATGGTTGGATAAAGATCTAAACTATTATGTCCAATTTATTTGTTATTTGATTTTGGTTTCAAAAAGTAAATCCATGGATACCATCATCCAAGAAGAGTTCCAAATGAGGAATTGCGAATTACAAACGAAAGAAAACATTTTAGAGAGAAAATTCTGGAAAAGAATCAAGTGAGTTCTGATAACATACGAATTCTGCATGTTAAGTATGACATAATTTGGACAATTAATGCTTAATTTTATGCAAAATTAAATTTAGCTATACATAAAATAAGTGAAGAAGAATTTATGATAACGTTTTTAAATACATGCTTAATTTCGTGAATTTTCTGTATTTTCTATAGCATGTGTATTTATTTATTTATATGATTCACTTGAATAATAATTATAAAGAAAATATCATTTGATGTCTAAATTCTGAATTTAATAATTTATAATGATTTAATATGATCAAAGTAATTTCATGAATTTAAGAGATTTTTCTGATTTTTCTGAGTATTATAAGATTATTTCAAGTTTAAGTGAATATTCAAAAGGTTTTTCTATTTTTATGGATTTTTTTATTAAATCCGAATTAATACAGTGCTTTGACTCATGATTATTTACATTATAAAACATAATCCATATAAGTTTTATGATTTATTATGCATCTCTTAAACCCTAAGTCAACTCATATATAAATGAGTTTAGATTTACCATGTTGATTTCTCCCTTATGCCTAATTTATTATATTTATTTGTTTAAGGGATAATAGGCTTTATTTTAATATTATGTTTCAGGTCATATTAGGCCCATGGGCCAGCTAGACAGCCCACATTAATTAAGGAGGTGGTGCAACAAGAATGAGGTGTTTTCTGTCCCTTCAAATTAAGGAAACTACCCACTTAAGGTGGGTGGTTCATTTCTTCCTTAATTAGAGGGAGGGGTATGTGACACCATCTGATCAGCCACACCCCTCTCCCTCATTAAACAACCGTTGGGACCATCTCAGCCCCTCAATCAGCCCAATCCAAGGGCAGAGATAAGTCCTAGGATGAGGGAAAGTGGGGAGACATCCTAGCAGCCGCCCACCTCCCTTAGGCTGCCCTTGGAGAGAGAAATCTAATCCAAGGGCTGTGCACTCTCCACCATGATCCAAGGGCTGAGAATGGGCAAGACCAGGGGAGAATAAAGAGCCATCTAGAGGAGAGAGAAGGTATTCCGTTCATATGAGAGAGGCGCCCAAGAGGAAGAAGAGGAGATCTCCGAGAACTTTACTCCTTGAGCCAATCTAGGAACTCCAAGGAGGGATCCGTTTGAGCACTCCAAATGATAGACAAAAGGCATCTTTCATGTATTTGATTCTTTCATTATGTATTAAATTTTATTTTGAATGAATGAGTTTTATTTTTTAATTGTCTTTTTTTCTTCTTGAGACCCTCTTGGTGAGAAAGAGTGGATCCAGTTGAAGAGTAGGTAGGAATTTGATTCTTTGATCTCTAGAGTGACACTAGTTTGATCATTGGATATAATCCAACCCTTCTACCCTTCTCTTGCTTCTCTTGATGTATGTGGATCTCTTGATTTATCAAGATTGATCACATTTCCAAGAGTGAACAAGGTAGGCAGATTTAGGATACCTTAAATCCTTCTTTTGATCCTTCTTCTTCTATGTTGTTTTGCTCTTTTGATTAATCAAAGTTGAGCATTCATTGGAAGTAGAGAGAGATAAAGAGGGGTTAAAAAGTAATTTAGGAATAGATTAATCTACTTTAGTCTTTCTATTGATCTACTAGGTGACATAAGAAGATCTAAGAAGATTAGAGTTTTTATTTATGCACATTAGGGTTAAGAAATTTACATTCATCCCAAATTTCACCATTTACTTCTCACATAATTTCCCTTCTCTTGGTGACTGAAAACTCATCAAAAGAAGATTGATCTATTCCTCTTTTAGTGTGCTTAAGTCAACTTTCTTCTATCTCCTCATCTTATTCTTCATCAAAAATTCAACCTTGATTAGAAGTTAAATTCTCACCTTACTTTAGACAACTTCTTGTCATTTGATTCGGATACTTCTTAAACTATACTCATTAGTATCATTAGTAAGACATCTGAACATTATTAATTTTAGTTTTGACACTCCTCAATTACAGTATTTTGGAGCAACCAAGTTCACTCAACAATTAAAAAATTAAATAAAGAGGAAGAAAAAATAAAATCATATATGGCTTGTAATCGAAAGTTACTTTCAAATGTTGAAAAACTTCTATGTTCTTACAAACACACCTAATAAAAAAGTGTTACAAACCTAAATATTTAGAAAATCAAAGATCAAGTAGACTATCAACATACACTGTTCAACAAGTCTACTAAGGGTTAACTTAGTAAATATTTGATCCTCATTTATTTGAATTCAACAATCAAGTGTTTGGCCTCTATAAATATCCAATCTCATTTCATGCTCCAAAGCACATCTCTCTTTATTGCTAATCTTATAGCAAGTGGTACAATGTAATTGAGGAAGCACCTCTTAGAATTGTGAGGCTCTTCATCTAATTAAATATTTCACATGTTTATATTGGAAGGTAGTCAAAGGGAGTTGTAATAGCAAGGGAAACACAACCTACCTTTGTGAAAACTGTCATGTACCTAAGAATTTTGATCCCATAACTTTTGGTTCTCTTGGAGACAGCAGTTGAAACGAATGGCTGGAACAACAATAGAAGCACTGCAATAGATTGGATGTACCTTGCTGACAGCTCAGCCACAGTAAAATAACATGCCCCTTGTTGGTTCTTGATTATTGTGTCAACTGCCCAAGTTAAACAACATATGTCAACTTATGTGTAAACACACATTGTGAAGCTTAAGAAAAGTCATTAAAAACATATAATAAATAGAAAATATAACAAAAAAACCTTGATTCATTCAACTTTCGATACACTATAATTAGTGGTTTTAATATAAATGTTCATTGTAACTTTCCAATATGTGTAGATTGATCCATTGAATAGTGGATCAAGACTTTAAGGTGTTTAAATTTTTTATTTAGTTAAGCACTGGTTCCCTTGCATGTTACACTATACACCAAGAGGTGGGGTGAATTGGTTTTATACAAGGTTTTATTAATTTTGAATGATGTAAAATAGTTTATATCAACTTATAACATGGTCAACGAAATATATTCTGGGTCAACACAAGTCATTAAGTTGACATAGATTGATTTTGGTTGACATGATGGGGCAACATAATATCTTGTAAGATGGGTCAACATGGACATGACTAGTTCAGCACACTAATTGAATAGACAAAATCAACACAATAGATCAACACAAGTTTGTATGCATTGGACAAAGATTTATACTAGTTCAACCTTTCCATTCCTTATATCTACTATTCAAGGGTCACTACCCTTAGTCTTCACTATTCTCTTTCTAAGAAATATAATTAACTTTATAGGATCAAAAAATCATTTATACTAGGTCAAAATAATTATTCAAAAAATGTTCACAATAGGATTTAAAAGCTCCATAAAGATCCTATCCTAAGGGCTTTTCAATTTTCATTTACAAGAGATGATAGAATGCCCAAAAACAATCTTTTGAGCTATATGAAGGGCTCATAAAATATTTCAAATCTTTATGCTCATTCCACAATCTCCCATCAAATTACTACAAGAGAAATGTTGTAAGACTTTCTTCCATTATTAGTCATCTCCAAAATAAAAAAAGTTCATTCTACCCTCAAAATTATTTTCTAATTTATATTTACTATTACCATTATGTGAAGTCACTATAAGAAGTGCTCGTAATAAAGGCTAAATAGAGAGAAAATTTAATACCTTGATGGATATAGCATGGGAAGATAGTCTCATGTAATATTAATTGTACTTATCTTAAGGATAATAGTGGAAACCAAGGGTAGGAAACCATGGTAACTTGACTTAGGTTAGGAAAGGCTAAACCACTCTAAATATCATAGTTTGCCTCATTTTCAGACATTTTCAGACATTTTCAGACCAAATTAAGAATTAAGAGAAAAAGTTAAAAGCATTCTAAACACACTATTTGAAGAATCAATTCACATCCCCTCTGGGTCTTACATCTAGCTTGCCTTGGGACAAATAACCAAGGCATCTCTAAACACACTATCAAAAACTAAAGAAAAATGAGAGGATGAAAAGGAAAAAGCCAACAGTTATTACATGGAGTGAAGAAGATAGTTACAACTAAATCTTGGACAATGAGAAAGAGGCCAATCTATGCCTCAAATTGCCTGATTTGAAGATGAAACTTCTGCTCATTTTGAGTTCTACACTTGCAAAACTTCTTGCCATAGATATTTTGCAACTCATGAAAGAAGGCATTTATCAATAACTATATCAATTGTTCCTGTGATAAATCAGACTAACACTTCATTTGATTGCCAACATCCAAAGCCATAATGTTGCTTGACTTTCCCGCCAAAAGGACATCTCAATGAGACAGCTCCAAAGTTGTGCATTTTCGTATGACCATATTAAAAGTTTGCTCCACATAGGGTTAAGCTAGGATATCTATATTTGCCTTCAAATTTTTTACTGGTTGTGTAAGATAGTGTATACAAAGACCCTCATAATGTCTTCCCCTTGGGGGATAAGAAGTACTGACCTGACCGAACCTCCATACATCTCCCTGTTTGATTAGCTAAGAATGTACCTGCTGGACCAACCAAAAGGTCAACCTGTTATGGCAGAATTTCTTGAGATATTCATTGACCTCTAAAATATTCCGCCTACTCATATCGTTCGAGTTAAATCCTACACCTAAAAATGTGCACCCAGAATCATAATTCGAGAGATCTGCTTGCCAAGAACTTGTGACCGATTTTGCTGGCGCTGACCTCCCAAGATCAATTCAACGGTACACCATCTCCTGGTTTCAGCCTGAGCACCAAATCCTAATCGAGGAAATCAAAACGTGCCACACCCATCGGAGGAAACAGTGTAGAGGCGCTCCACCATGAACAAGGAAACCAATGAAGGAAAACAGCCATGGACGAGGCTCCGAACCCCGAATTCCGTCAATGAGTGAGGCGGGTGGGCCACGGAATGGCTAATTCTAATGCCGGGCATTCTTAATGTTCTGGGGTTAACTTACAACCCATCTATGGGTTGACCAGTTGTTTTGTAGAGGGCTATAATGGAGGATATGGAAGAGTTCCAGGTCAACGCGGGTGACGCGTTAACAGTCACGCGGCGCCAAACGTGTCAATCGAGGCGGCGAGAATCCTTCTCATATAGGTTACGCTGTGAGGGCCAACCTCATCCGCGGTTGACGTCCCCCTCAGCCTTACTTTCTATCGGCTGGCGAATCCACCGTGAGCTCTCGTTCCCTCCTCGATGTCGATCCACGGCCAAATCCTCGAAGTCACAGGTACGCGGAGACGGCTACGCTGCGGTTTGCCCGGGAAGAAGAAAATTGTTTGTGATTTTACTCCCTCTCGATCGATTTATGATGGTTTGCTCCCGTGGCAGTTGTGGGATGCAGTAGGTTGAGGGATACGGAGTGGATCTCCCGACAAGATCCCTATGTCTGCCTCGAATACGCGAGCACCAAGCACCGCACTCGCACTTGCACAGGTAGATCACAAATCGGGTTTGATTTCGCGGCTCTTCTGTTCTGGTTATTAATTCAGGGAAGAATTTGATCATCCATGCCTGATGTCTGATATTTTTCCTGTTCTCTGTGTTTGTTACCGTCGGGGCGGTACAGATGGGGGGAAGAACCCTACCTTCCAGGAGAAGTTCGTTTTCAACCTAATTGAGGGGCTCCGCGAGATCAACGTCTCCGTCTGGAACAGCAACTCCCTCACCTACGATGATCTCATCGGCAGCGGCAAGTACGCCATCAACAATTTCTTTCGGCCTCTTCCTTGCTCGTCCTCAGCTCCGTCGATCTCCAGCGCTGATCTCCTTCCCCCAATCGCTGTTTCAGGATCCTTCTTAACAAAGTCCTCTCCCAGGGCTACGACGACATGGCCTGGACGATCCAGAGCAAGAGAGGCAGGTACGCCGGTGAGGTGACCGTGATCATGCACTTCCTCAACGCCCAGGTCTGTCCTCCTCCCTCCATCTTCATCAAGCCTTTCCTTCGATCTTGATTCCGAATTGTCTTGCTCACTTCCTTTGCTGCAGAAACCCAGCAGCGCGTGGACCTCATCAGCGCCGCCATACACCGGCGTTCCGGCTCCAGCTGGGCACTACCCGGCATCATATCCGCCACCGCCGCCGGCGCCGGCACGATACCCACCTCCAGCAGGATACCCGTCTTATCCCCCAGCTTCCTCCTCGTACCCGTCTTATCCTCCGGCGGCGCCGCCAGCGTATCCGCCAACGTACCCCCCCCAGCAGCAGTACCCTCCTCCAGCAGGTGTCTATCCTCCTCCACCCTACCCGCCAGGTAAAGAAAATCTCTGAGAGGCCCATTGCCACCTCTTCTGATTTCATCTTCCCTCTCTGGGTCTGGTCTGGGTCGGAGTTTGAAGTTTTCTTCGTGATCATCCTCCCATTCTGCAGGGCCATACTCAACGTACCCTCCTCCGCCGTACTGAGAGAAATCCATCTCCTGGAGTGGATTGATTTACTGTGAATTGTTTTTATTTCTCTGAAAACTTGTTTGTCTGAAAACTCTATCTATAGAATCAACTTTTGCAAAGAAATAATTCCCGCCTCTCAAATCTCTAGTTCGCTGATGGCAAGAAGACTTCACAATCTAAAGCTATCAACCCTTCTCTCATGGAGCAATCATTCCCCATGGCAAGAATTACCATTATAAAACCAATGTAATCCTACATGAGAAATAATTATTAGAAATAATGCGGTCGTCTGAACTGACCCAGTCTTAATATATTTACTTAGATAAGGATGGCCCACTGCCTCGTAATACCTGATTTTGTGTATAAAAATCGAGAGCAAGAATTTACAGAAAGCTAGATCTTTAGAGTCATTGGTTAAGTTTACAACAATGTTCCCCCCGTCCAGTTGAAAAGTAGTAGGTTTATGACTTCTGGTGGAGCAAAGTCTCACATGAACTGAATTCACGAGTATAATAAAGAGGACTTTTGAACTTATATGGCCCGGTGGAACGTTTTCTTCAAACTGAATCCCGTTGGAGGGCTTCCATTTGACTTTTTGCTCAATTGAAAGTTGACGTTTCTACTGGGGCCTTGAATGTCTTTACATGGAAATGAATGGGTCAATAGAGGAACCCATGTCCTCCATATATGGACGTCCACTGATTTTTACAGCGATCAATGGTCAACCAGAAGTGACGCCCGAAATAAAGACGTATGGAATGAATTAGAAAGAATTGCTCAAAAGGCCTCAAGATATCAGAAAGGCAAAAGATTTGAAAAAAAACGATGGGGTTGACAATAAAAGAGCCAGAAGCATTAAATGTTTGGCGTTTCATGTGATCATCAGTAACCTTTGACAAGTCAGGGCTAACTGGTCCCAGAGTTAATGATGTTGCTCAAAGCTACAGAACCAAAATAGAAGGGGAGAAAACTGGAAATGAAACCTGTTTCATTGTCCATGAGTCACCAATCGAAGTAGGCCCTAAAGAAAGCTTATTGAGAAAAAATTACCAAATGGATCCAAATACAACAAAATGATTTTTTATTTTATTTGCGGAAATATTTTTGCCTATAAATAAGTTTACAGAGGAAGAACGTGCTGGCTGCTTTTAAGAAAATGGTGCAGCATAGCCTGACCTCTGAAAATGACTCATAACCACCTGTCAAGACCCTGTCATCGGTCTGCACCACTACAGTAACTAATATTATTGTATGGATTAAAAACATGACATAATCTTAATTGATGGTAAGTAACATTGTTAAAAAGGATACACCACACATTATGCATAGAGCACATCTGCGATAATGACATTTTATTATCTATTTTTGGCATCACCCATTTGAGGAAAATTCACAAGGATTGTAAATTTTGTTTCAATAGTGAGAGAAACAGGACATCTTAGCATTAGATTTGGAACTTCCTAAAATAACTTTATGCTGATGAGTGAGTCATTACAGAGTTTTTTGATAGAGTTGTTATATGAAATTGCAACTAAACCAGAAAATGGGTGATCCAATCGCCATCAGATGGAGATTGCCGCTACTGCACATTCATGGTAGATTTTTGATACAACATAATGATGATGAGTTAAATTTGCATCTCTTGATATATTTTAATCGATAAGTGGAAAAAAGGACAACTAGTAATTCATAATATTTTTAGTAGAAAATTCATTATTCTTTTGATACTTGGAAATTTCATTTTCTTCTCTATGATTATCATGAAACCATTCGCCATGCCATTAGTTGTTTTATTTTTTTCCACTGATGTTCATTATTGTTCATTACATAAGAATTACTCTGGAATTTTCCCTTATGTAGGTGGATGAAATGTCATTTTTTACCTTTTCAATGCCAACATAATCAGTGATTAGAATAGCTGTTGTAAGTGCAAATCTCTCATGTTAATTTCATTTCACAAAATCCATAGTAGCCTCTACTTGACCCATACTGAAAACTGATATCTTATGCAAGAGCTTTATTGGGGATGGGATGAGCTGGTGATGTATGAGATATCAGCTCAGCCTTGGCAGTACAAGGTCCAGCCAAAGTGTAATGTCGACTCCAGGAGCACCATTCGGTGCAGTAGCTAGGTTTGAACACTAAAAAAGGATGACTGTGTTCAAGGTGAGTTTGAAGACTGAAACGAGAGCCAGTATGGGTTTCGTTGTCTTAATCTTAAGTATTTTTATGTAGACCAAGAGAAATAAAGAGAAACATTCATCATTTGTATGCTCTTATCACACTAATAGTAAGATGTAGATCTAAATTATTAGATCCAATTTTATTTCTTGTTTCATTGTGAATTTTAGCTATAAATCCCTCAAAGGTCTCATCTAGGAAGAGATCTAAATACAAAAAACTGAATTAAGAACAAAAGAAAGAATTTTAGAGGCCCAATCATAGAAAGTGAACTCAATAGTTGGTGAGTCAAACTAAAACGAGAAAAATAGTAATATTTATCTCTGAAATTAGATATAGTTTGCAATCCAAAGTTTCTAAAAGTGTCAGAATATCTTTGAGCATATGCAAAGACACCTGACAACACCAAAGAACAAAGTGTGAGAAAATCAAATATTTAGAAAATGAATTTTTTAGAAAATCAAATCTTACATAAACAAAAGACCAAGTATATTGATAGAATACTATTCACCAAGCTTACTCTTTGACTCAACAAATCTTTAACTAAACAGATCTCACTTATTTGACTTCCAACACTTAAGTTCTTAAGCTCTACAAATAACCTTTGTCATTAGTTTTAAAGAGATACATGGTCAATAAACTTACTCATTCTATACTTCAAAGAGCATCTCTCTTTCTAGTTGATTCTTAGAGCATGTGCCACAACATCCAATCAAGCACTTATTATATTTATAACAATCATCAAGTTACATGTTTCACATCTCTATATGTGAAGTCGCTCAAAGGTATTTATTACAGCATCATGAAAAACCAAGTGGTAAATTGAGTCTTTTCAGTTTTTCTTCTTGATTGTTAAAACTTGGTCAGATTTAATCACACAAGAGATTATAATGGTTCTGCCCACTTGATCTAATAAACTCTATAAGGACCTTACTTTAACAAATTAAAATATTCTGATCTCAACAAATGATCGTAAAAAATGGAAGGAAAAATTTTCATAAATATTTAATCATTTCACTAATCATTGCAAAAATCTAAAACATTACATCTAGTTCATTTTTTCTTCTATTATATCATTCATATACAGAACAATGAAAAGGAACAACAAATAAGTGTCAACTGAATGAGGAAGTCTATTGTTCAAGGAAAGTCAAAATCAAAATAAAAGAAAAAGCTTTTTAGAAAGAAACATTGGAAGCAAAGTGTGTCAACTCATCTAAAATTAAGGAGGGAGATGAAGTGAGCCAAATTAGTTTGTAGACCCACCTAAAAAAGAACAAAGAGAAAGTGTGTCAACCTTGTACGTCAACCCAACAGTTGTCAAGCTAAATTTCAAGAGAGAAGAAGGAGAGTTTTTTAAGCTGTCTAACATGTTAGAATAGCTAGAAGAGTTAACAAATGCCAAAAGATTTTGGACAATGACAGCACATCTTCATATCTTAGAAGATCAAAGAAAAAATAAAAAAAGGTTGGATTGACACCTCTATAAAGTAACTTGGACAAAAACTGGTCAAATTAGCATTCTAGCCACACATCATTGGGCAACCCATGTGTCAACTCAAAAAATCTTTGACCAATAAAATCTCAAAGATTTGAATTCCAATGATCAAGTTGTTAGACTCTATAAAAGGTCCTTCCCAAGAGCTTTAATGTAGCCTTTAGCTTTCAAGTAACTTTTAGCTCGCAAGTGTCAACCTATGATGCTAATAGAAACAAGCTAAAAATATAAAAACTTAAAAGTAAGAAAATATTTTAAAAAACTGATCAACCCTCCGTCTTGGTATTACAACTAGTCCACCTTGAGACCAAAAGACCTTAGATTCTAATAAACTTTTAGTGAACTACACTGAATGTAAAGGCTTTAGTTAGCCTTCATTTAATTTTATGATTCTAGCCAACTTTAGTTAACACTTCTTCTAGATTAACAACCAGCTAATCTCTTCTAATTAATAGTTGTAGGAGGCAACTAAATTAGGATCCAACTAACTTATTATCTTAAGGTTGGCTCAAGGTCAGCTCAAGTATTAAAAGTAAACAATCAGAATTCAAAAATAACAAATGCTCTTATAGATTTAGCACATAATAACAAATGCTTGAGTAGCACTTGATTCTCTCTTTTTAGGCATGCAATTCACTTGTATGCTCATATGGATTGTCTGGATTAGAACTTTCCTCAATATGATTTTCAAAAAATGATTTACCACAATTACATTAGTCATAAAAACATCTCAAGAATATCTTATGATAATTTCATTACTTAACCGACAATAAGGTGATCAGAATTATGTGCACTTTATTAACTGTTTCAATATTTCTCAATTAAATATATCTGATTGAATTTAACAAATTGATCTACTGATTAATCTATTAAAAATCATCATCAATAAGATTATTTTTTATTTTAAATTATGATTAATTATCATGTAAACTAGTGTGATGTTATAGTTAAAATAGGCATTCCAACCTTGTATTATATATGATGAATTAAACTCTATAAGATATACCATTTTATCAACCATCAATAAAATATTTTTGAGATCTTTTAATCTGTGTCAATTGAACTCTTAAATCTTCTCATGAGGAAAGCCAAAACTCAAAAAAGAAGAATGCTAGTAAGAAAAGAAAGATAGTGTCTTTCTAACTATTGTGAGGAAAATAAACCATTGAAATGAAATTATAAAAGGCTTATTGCTCCTATGAATTTCATCAAATGTTCTCTAATGAAGAATAGTGGGGACTAAGGGTAAGAACACCAAGTAGACATCAATAGGAAAAGGCTTAACTACTATAAAAGAGTTTGTTTTTTTATGTTAGTCACTAATGAGTAAACTTAGTGATTCAATCCATTGACATAGTAAAGGGAAAATTTTAAAATCCTAAATAAATCATAAAAATTACAAATGGCCCATTACTCCGTCCCCTACCAAATAAGTAGACAAAACAAGGAAAGTTAAGTCACAATAATAGAGTGTTTTTCTTATTGATCATTAAAAAGTTGGACAATAAGGTGAGTGATCCATGTGAGTCAACCCCAATAAACACAATCTAAGGAAAAAAATTAAAAGCCTAAGTAAATCATAAAAATTATAGATTGTCAATTTAACCCCCTCCCCCCACCCTTCTTCTTCACATGTCATCTCATCTATCCTAGATCAGACCAACAACTCAAATTATCTTATGTATTTTTTAAACAAAATAATTTCTTTACCTTTGACAATGATTCTGATAGTTTTAATGAATAAAATGTTTTGTCACTAAATAAATAAGATTGTAACAAGTTAATCTTAAATGTGAACCTTCACATACTTTAGAGGTTAATGATACAACAATGGAAGTCAAGACTTCACAGTTTTAAACCCATCAATCAATATGTTTAGTGACATCGTAAATGGTTTTGAAGGCATTAATCACCAAGGTGAATGACATGATTCACAATAACACCATTCAACTACAAGATGTAGTTTCTCAACAGTATAGATTATGAGTGTTTAGGTGCATGAACAATGTCTAACAAACAACTTTGTGTAACATGCTCACCTTTTACAAATACATCATGTGTGCCTAATCCATTTATATCATCCAAAAAATTTCCATTTAATGTTATACAATGCAAGTAATTGAGATGTATAATTTTCCAATTAAAATAATAATATCTTTGTTAAATATTAATTACTTGTTAAATCAAGATTCATGGTTTTTCTTTCTATTTTGACAAGCTTAGTTTATTTTTAAATTAGGCATAATTACTCATATTAGTTGTAACATCTAAGTGTGCCATGTGTGCACTATGCCCATATCTATGCCCATCCCCCTTACAAGTTCACATAAAACCACGCCCACACCTGAACACCAATGAGCATGATCACTATTAGTGCATATTTCTGCATGCAAAAGTCACCCATTTTCATTCATCCCTGTTGCCACATGCCAATCTATCTCACACACATACATATACGCCAAGGAGTTGAGAATAGTAAAACGTCCTTTCCCTTATGATAGGTAATTTCTCATCCTTATTCTAAGATTAAATTACACATTTAACCTACACAATATCCCAAAGTGAAACTATGTTATCTTTATTACATTAGGTTAATACAACTCTATATCAGTTCCTACCTTTTTCACAAATTTGTGCACTTTCCCTACACTCAAATCTAATAGTACCTTTATTGTAGCCACTTAATAATTAGTTGAGCATGTTCAAGGCTTATTTGATATTTACATATTATCTTGATTAGTTTTCTTGGTTAGTACTAATTTGATCCTTGTATGAGTCGATTTGCTTTAATTTTGCATCAGCGTGCATCATTTTTGGATACGATGTGATAGCTTACCTCTTCTCTTTCTTCATGCCCCATGTTTGCGCAGCCACCATGGATATTGCTAGTGGGAAGGTGTTCTTAAAGGAGCTTCTCCTTAAGATTGGGAGGATGCAGCATTGCCCACTGTCAACAAAGCTGACTTTCATCAGCCTGTTGCTTCATGGCTATCTTGGGTTTATTGTACATGAATATAGCCTGCTATAAAGGCACAGTGACCACGATGATGATGTTTGTCACCCAAGAAAAGAGCATACATCACCTGATGGCATTCTTTCTGAGTCGGGCAACAACAGACACAAGAGAGAGAGAGAGAGAGAGAGAGAGAGAGAGATGCAGGAGAGCTCTGGGCTGTTGCGCAGATTAGTAGAATAAAAATTCGCTTTATGAATGCCATGCTCTGGGCTACTGAACTGTTCATTGATGACGACCAGTTCTTTTCATCTTGAAACAAGGAGCTTGGATCATCCTTCAGGCTTTGGCTCTATTCTTCAATATTGGAAGGAGACCAATCCATGCTCGACATCAATTCGTTTGGAACTCTGGAATACTCGATTTCGCTAAAAGCATGGTTTCCTTGTATTTAATATTGAAGTATTTAAGCGACCAACTGACTTCAACCAGAAGGTGACTATTTCGTAACCAGTTGAGCTCTCCCGATTGTTAGCCTACACTTAAATTACCCCACTAACTCCCTCTGAGAAGTAAACCTCATCATTTTCGTACAGCCTTTAGGGTCAACTCAACAAAACATTTCATAACCAGAGCGACAGAGTCTACACCATGATATTAGGAACCTTGACACAACTTCTAGCAGACATGTCTTTCATGCAATATTTTTTGGAGGAGCTCATGTGAAAACTTCTCATAACCAGCCCCATCAACGGCGAATAATTAAACAACTCAATGACAAAATTATTATCTGAAATCAGATAAAACACTAACCTTGACTGTAGAAATCTTTAAATTTATGAAGCATAAGGGGACTACACAGCTAAATTGGAAAGCCCATCTACACCACATTAGCAGTTCACCTATAATATGAAGCCATGACGTACAGCATGACAGCCGAGGATACAGTGATGAAAAGTTCCTGTCAATCCACAAACGAGAAGCAGTGAGAGAAGGCACAAGTACCAAAAAGAACATGTGGGTGCTCTGAGGTAGATCACAACTTTGTGTGTGAAATTATATCAGCACTAAGTGAAGTAGGTAGGTAAGATCAGCAGGTTGGCTGATCAGGGCTGCAGACCGTTGAACAGTTCGAGCCCAATGAAAGCCAGCATTATACCTGCTGACGCACAGATTGACCTAAAATCCACTGATGTAAGGTTCCCTGTGTTGATCTCGAGTCAGATGATTCCAGGCCAATTCTAGAATATGTTGGCTGACCTTGGTAGATATTTAGTATATCATAACGTATGTGTATATTCTAGGTTGGGGGTTGGAATTCCCTCTTCCCACCATCCTGAACCCTAAAATGGAACAAACTCAAATCGGTGATGGTTGGGGCCCTCCCATCCAGACTAGGATTGGTCGACACAACCTACCCTGTTAATAACCACATCCCAAAACACAATCTACTCATCCTGCAAGAAATGCGACTATTGCAATGTCTAATGCTCCACCTGATCAGAAGGGAAGACCAGTTGAATAGATATCAGACGGACTTAGTTACCTGGTTATTGAAGAGGAAGAGAGGTATATACTGCCCTAGATATTCGATCACATTGAGAATTCCTGTGAAACCCTGCAATTATGGGTGAAAAAAAATAAATAACCATAGAAGAAACAGGAAAAAAAAAAGTTTGTGAGTCGTTCCAGTAAGTCAGATGTTGTCAGGGTTGAGAGTTGACACAACGAGTCAAAGTCAATATTAAGGTTGAGTTGGCCTTGAAACTGAAAATCAAGATGAAGCATGAGACTTACTAAAGATGCAAGGGCGACACATGTGAAAACCAATGTCAGAGAACGGAGAAGACGCTTGCCCATGCGTAGACCCCGGCCTTCATCTTCACCTTCCTCCTACGCGACAGAACCAGTATATAACCATGCTGTCAGTTATTTGATTCTTGATGAAGGACAATGAAGCAAATTCACGTTATATGTTTACTGAAAAGGTAGACTCGCAACTCACATTGAATGTGACAGATGCTGCTGGCTCAGAAGACTTGAGTTTCTCAAATATTCTGTATACATAAACAAACCCTAGAAATTGCAGAGGCTTGTACTCAGCACTGCGCTTTATAATGATCCAGATGGTCTGCATAAGTATAATATCCGAAAACAATCAATAGTGGTAGCTTAGTAGCAGATACTAGAAAGTGGCAACATGGATGAATGTCCCCACAATGGATATGTCGAGGGACAAGGACAGGGGAAGTTCACTTCGCTTTGCAAAAAAATATCAACATGAGTCCAGTGATACTAGATTGACTAATTAGTATTATCAGTAATGGGGGGGTCTACGTTTTAGGACTGATTATTGAAAATATGTTTCTTCAACAGGAACAGTACCTTTCCAACTTTTCATCATTGCAAGGTCTGAAATAGACCTCTGCAGATTCCAAAGCAAGCACTGAGTTGAAAAACCTTAGTTGAGTAGGTAAATTTTCACCAAATTGACCTCGCAGATAGAGATTCTACTAACCAATTGTAGACAAAGATGAAGCGCTCTTCATTAATTAAATGGTGAGAAAAGGAAATATGACTGTATGGGCAGGACTTGGCTCAAGGTGTTTGAGATTGTGTAGCCACTCAACTCCTTCATTTTAAACAATTCTCAATAACAAGATAAATCTCTCTTTTCACTGGCTATGGCGATTCAGGATAGAAATAAACCCGAGATTTGGTAAGAACATCTAAACCTGAGAAATCTCCAAGGTTAGGTATTTTATGCCTCCTTAATAGCAGGCATAATTATACCTCCCCGAGTAGACATTTAACACCTTATCAGCTTTAAAACCCAAACAATCAGAGTAGTATCACATGCATCAACCAAATAGCAATAGCATGCATCTGAAAAGAATTAAATATATTAATGCGTACTGGTCCCTAGTAATTAAAACATTAAATGAGAGCCTTTCTGATCGTTAAATATCTGGAAAATGCTATCATGCAACCGAATACTCGTTGGGATTCATTAATCAATGATACTGTGTCTTATTTAATTTATGACTCAAGGATTAGATGATCATGAGGTGCCAAATGGATGGCCCTTATCTAAAATACATCTGGCATAGTCGGAGAGTTGGATTGCAGGACGCTTAAAGGCACCCTACGTCGACCCTATTTGAAAAGAAAAGACTATAGATAGTGAATCTGGCAGACGAAACCGTCCGGCCAAATTCTCCTGCTTTTGTTGCAACTTAAATTGACTCCGCTTCAACTCATATAAAAGCCATTAAAGGTTCTGAATCTTCAAAATTCCTATCTGATTCGTATGGATTGGAGCACATCACACTGATTCCACAAGCTTCGGACAAGCCTCTCAGAGAAAATAGATTCCTCTTACATGCAAATCAGAAGTAATAACCCCTCCTTTTATATTCAGCCAATCTTAACCCATGTCAGGACTGGAATTCATTGGGATTGGAATCTTGAGAAATATATCTGTTTTGCATAAATTGGAACGCATCGCACTGAGTCAACAAAGTATGGACGAACCCCACTACAGAAAAAAAAAGTTTACTTTCGTAAAATATCCACAAGAGCACGAATGATTCTTGTGCACATTGGGATTGAATGTTAAAAACCGATCCAAATCATTTTGGTCAATTGATAACAGAGTTACATAAGGACAAAAAAATCTGACTCATGAACATACATCATAGGCATATTATTTCATTAGATGATGAGTGACATACAGGGAACTTCTCCACAAGCTATTAACAATAAAATCAGAGAATTGCCAACAAAACTTAAACAATAAAAGAAATCCTAAAAACATATCTCCAAACTAATAACCAACCATGCATGTCCTTAGGACATGATAGCAAAGAAGTGTGAACAACAAAGAACAGGCCTTTTATGGGATTTAGTCACAGAAAAAGTGTACTTCCAAACAAGTATGATCATGGCTACGCAAAATTTAAAAGGAATAATTTACAGAATGGAAAAATAATTGTCACTCAGAATTGTATGAGAAATTTACAGCCTTTAGGCTTTAAGCATCGTAAACATCCAGAAACAAACAGCCAAGACAATATTGAGCGAATACATGAGGAAAAGGATGTGGGTTCCAAAAGAGAATAATTTGCATCTTACAAATAATGCAGATATCGCCAAATTGATCTTCATGTCCTTTGGGCTAGATTTGCTAAATCTGCAAACAGTAATCGCTAAAAAATTAAATAAATAAATATGAATTATAAAAGAACATGCATCTATCATGCTTCATGCGACCCTGTTTGTTACAATTACCAATGAAGTTTAAACGATTACAGGCTATAATTTATCAGTTCCATCATTATCTGATTCCATCTTGTTTTGGTTATAACTCATACCCAGCCTGATTCTGGACTGGTTAATTTTACTAAACCCACACCTTGCGTCACGTGTTTGAGGGATCTCACCTGAAAATAACTTCTAATGAATCATATTTTTCTCTTTTAACTTATTGTCTCGTTTTGTTTAGATGGTAGCTTGCCCCCAAAATGAATCCATAAAATTTCATGAACCCATAATTACAAGCTGAATCTGGGTATTGATCCGTCCCCCGCATAACCTTTATCCCAGAAAATATGTTGGTTGCATTTCACTTATCCTACCCCGAGAAACAAGAATTATAAAATATAAGAAAACACACAGAAGCAAAACTGACAAATCAAAGGGCCTAAAAAATACAGAGTTCCTCCATGCAGAGGGAGAGCTAAAGCAGGAATACTATGAAAAAATACTGGAGAAATTACCTAGGTCCCCATGGTACAATTGGCTGCTTGTCAGCATATTTGATGTCCTTGGAAACCTGAATGGAAACAGAAATTGATATTCCTTTTCATCAACAATTAATGAACAGTACAACTAAAATAAGATCCAAGAACTAGGGAGACTTCATTTTCAAGAAAAACTGAGGAATCCTTTTTCTAGGTGTCAAAAGAAAGTGTGATTGTTTGTTTAAGGTCATGTGGCTATAGATGCATGGACTACTGATAATGTAAGAAAATATCAATATTACAGTGGCCACCAACCAGACATTTATGGATCGTGACCAATTGAGAGAAATTATGAAACAGTTCTGAGGAAGAGAGTTCGAGGTCAGGAAATTGAAGACGAAAATTTTAACAAAAGGATTCACAATCAGAAAGAAGTTGTATGATAAAAAATTAAAAAAAACAGTTAATAACCTTGGAAAAGAGGGAATTTTAACTCAAGAAAGGGAATTGACAAATACATGAAGAAAAAAAAAACTCAGCATAAGCCTTCAGAAAAAGAATAGGGTATCTCCAAGCAAAGCAAAGCTGCAGATAAAAGGTGATAGTTAAAGGAACGATTTCAAAGGTCTCGTGATTGCAACAGTTGACAACAGCAGAAAACAATGTGTGATATTCCACTGATGTTATAAACGAATATCATGTAGCTACATAACTCTCAGTATTGGATATTCACTTGCACTTGTCACCTAACTTGGAGGTTTACTTTTATTACCCAACTATTGTGAAGATGAGGTCAGTATTTTAATAGTTGATTTTCCTGATGTAAAATCAAGCCATTGCTCTTAAACATTATTTTCATTTGCCGTATTATTCTCTCTCTGCTATATCTTCATAATCCAGCATATTAAGTGTCCTTAGAATTTAGGCAGCTCCAATTGTCATCCGGATTCGTGCATAATGATATTAGAGATAATTTCAGACTTTAATAATTTGCGATTCTTTCATGTTTTGTAATATTCAATGGCGTTGTTCTCCTGGTTTCAGCTATAAGATTAAAACATCCAAAACTATGAACACCATTGGAGTTAGAAACATTATAACCCATCTTAATTTCACCAAACTATAAAAGTCTTCTTCTCTCCCAAAATAGGCATCATCAAACGAAATACTTTCGGAAATAAAAATTTATATAAGATGATATTCATGATCCTAAACTCCAAACTCTCAATGTGCTCATATCTTTTAATATTATACGAAAGATAATATTGCTCACATAGGTAAGCAAAACAGGCATGCAAATGTCATTATTTCAAAATGAGAACTTATCGAAAGCAATGAGTAAAAAAAAATATAACGGATATTTCACATTGACCAAGAAGCCAACCTGGAATGAACCAAATGCCAGACCTTTCTTCCGGTTGGTTAGCTGAGACATCATGATTTTGTCATATGCCCGTTCTAACTGATGGAGAAGTAAAACAACATTAAACAAAAACCGGTATGAGACACTCCAACGTATATCAACAAATACGATTACAATCGTCATAGCTTACTCTAGCTACAGATGCCTCATCTCCTCTACTTTCTGCATCTTTCCGTCTCCTCTTATAGGCAGCCTTCATCATATCAAATCCCTCAATTGGATTGACACCCAGAACCTAAAAAACCTGTTTGAATTAATTCGCTCTGGAATTCCTAATGTTATACCGATACAAATCATAAAATTAAGCTCACCTCATATGGGTTCTCATCAATCTCTGATCCTGAGCTTCCTGTGCTCCCAGCGGCAGATGATGCTGAACAAACCATCCTGTGACTCGTGGAAATTCTGGAGACCCTGTAACGTTCATGCCACAAAAGAGCATCAGCTAGAAATGCCGCGCCAGTACATGACCTATCACCCAAAGTGGGCAGAGTGAATGAAACCCAATGAGCACGCATTTATCGAGAACTAGAGCCAAAAAGCTTCCGGATTTGATGGAACAGTAAACCGATGGACTTTTATATTTGGAACGTGGAAACTCGACAGAAAGCACCAAACGGCAACAAGACGAAGAAAGAGGAGCAACGGTAAGAAGCAGAGCACCAGATTGTCTGTCATTCGGATTAGAACTTCACAACTTCGAGAGAACAAAAAGATGAAACAGAACCAAAGACAAAAGGAAAAAGAAGAATTGGCAAGGACCCATGGCAGCTCCCCTAAAACCCCTGTAACAGCAGTAGCAACAGTCAAGTTCGCACCTTATACTTCGGAGAAGAGTCGAAGGGTCGAAGCTACAGCAGGCAGGACGGCTCCGCCGAAGAGAAAGAGCTCTGGGACATTGGAAGGCAGGGGAGACCGCTGCCACAGAAAAAACCGCCATTTTCTCCTGGGTAACCCGAATGGCGTCCTCGACGGCGCTATTCGGCGCGAGTTTAAAAAGGTGGGTCTCTCGGGGTTGCTAATGGAGGTCAGGAAGCGGCGGAGAAGGCAGCGGCGCCGCGGTGGCCATGGGCGAAGAGATGAGGTTAACACTGTCTGCTCTTACAAATTGTTCGGCTTCCTTTCCCCCTCGGATTTCCGGAAGGGACTTCGATGGAAACCGAATACTCGATCCGAAAGCGTTCTGCACCTGTCATCATTTGCTTCTACTTCCGGCAAAATGAAGTGGTGAACTATTTAGTTTGGAGGGGCTGATTACACATTTTCAACGATATAAACTAAAATGTAGAAATAAATATCTTCTCAAGCCACCATATTACTAATTGTAGCAAAAAATAGTTTCTCATTATCATGGCATTGCCAATAAATTCAGCGAGAGATATGCCAATATGGGTACAAAATACTATATTAAGTGTTTGACTGGGTTACCTCACTCCAATCTATCCTATTATATAATTCATCATATCAAATGATTTATGGAAATTTTCAACTAGGTTTAGAAAACCAAATAAAACGTAGAAATATAATAAAATTTTAATTTTACTAATATGATGGCTTTGATATGATTCTCTAGGAAGAAAACAGACTACTACTCTTTGATATGGCATGTCCTTAATTCTTGGGTGATGGCAAATAATCACCGGCTGTAGACTATTTTTGTTTACTTGGTTTCTTCTTCCTTTTCCCAGAATTATTATGTGTAAAATATCAATGGTTGGAGGCAAGCAAGGATGAAGTAGAGGGAAGCCAAAATGTTATCAACACCAATTATGGGAGAAGATTGTCCTATGATATAGTGAGGATAATATTGATGATGTAAACGGTAGGTAACATAAATTAAATTTAGAGTAAGTAATTAATTTAAATAGGATAAATTTTGGAATATATGAAGTTATATTTATTTAATTTACTTTTTTGACACAATGTAATATATTACTTATTGTATTTCATAAAATAATGTGATTCTTTATAGACTGTTTGATTTAAAACAAGAAAAAACATGTTTGTCTATTTCAACCCCAATTCTCAACTTCATAACAATCCCATGAATGGGGTCTAATAATTTGGCAGATGTCCCCGCAAGAAGATCGACACAAATCCCTTTTCTCATTTTTCAATTATTTGGGATAAACAAATATATATATATATAGTGATATTGAAAATCACAATATGGAAACAACTACCAAATTGGCTAGGTTACATAGTTACATGATTGTAAACATAAAATAATTAATGGTCACCTCATATCTCATATAGTTAGTGATCACAATTTTCCTTATTGCTTTTGATGTTATCATGTTCTCTTTTACTTATATTAGCAAAGAAAAATATTAGAACCTAATGTCTTGGCACGAGTACAAGTCAAAAACCCAGATTGGGCAGGGTTCTCACTTAGCTATCCTTGTGTGTGTGTGTGTGTGAGAGAGAGAGAGAGAGACAAACAATTTGGTGAGTGAAACAAAATCATGAATCAACCACACTTTAATGGACATAATAATTCCAAGCTGATCATGATCTCACTATAAGGTAGCAAACTGATGATAGAAATTTTATGCTAGTAAAAAGTGAAGGCAAGATGAAGTTAGAGTTTACTTGTCCTCTTATCTCACCACACAACATTTAAATAGTAAAATAAATAGCTGTCCTTCAAACAAGGCTTCTTTCTAATGGACATAATAATTCCAAAACAAATTCAAAAATACTTTTGCACCTCAAATACCTCTAAAAATGAAAAACCCCATACGTGCATTCCCTTATATGAGCTGCATCTAAGGCTCGTGTTTTTTTTAAAATTTTATTATTGTATTTTATTTTATTTTACCACATCAAGGTGTCAAGATTGTTCCACATGGCAAGTGTCAACTTCATTATCTTTTTTTCTAGGATTATTCCATAGAAAGGCTAGACCCATCTAAGCCAGGCCCTGACCTTGAAAGGTGGGGTTTGCCTCACAAGCTAATAATCAGGCTTTCTTGAAGCCCATATTAGAATGAGGTCTTGTAAGAGATGTCTGTGCTGCAAACGGCACTAGACTGGCCCATGACGGCTCCATTTCATTTCCTATGAATTCTCAACAAATGGTATACGAGAAAAGAATGAACTTCTGGAATTAGCCATTGTAATAAATGACTAAAGAGTCAAAGATAGAACCAGCATTAACCGAAAATAGAATTCATCAAAAGAACCAAAAGCAACAGTTTAAATCTAAGAACAAGCCACCAAGTGTTCTTGCTTTTGTCCAAATGGAGCGACCAATGAGCCATCTACATTGGCAAAAGTAGCAGTAGAATCAGGTAAGGTAGTGGCCACCGTTGAATCCAACACAGCATCAGGAAGCGCATCCAGCGTCTCCTCTAGAAAGGACTGTATAGTCTGATGGTTCAAGAAAAACACCCAGTATAGAGAAAGAACTGTAAGTAGTTTTTTGATATCAGACAGGGAAGATATGGACGGAAACGAAGCACATGACATTATTTCTAAGTGACTAAGGTCATAGTCCATTATTTCTATACATACATGCCGCCTAATTTAACCTGTATTACTTTTAGAAAAAACATAAGACATTCAACAAGTAAGATAGTATATACACATGAAACTTCAATAAAATGACAAACAATAATCACAAGGTTAAATCCTATAAACAAAGTAGTCTTTGATATATTAAATATCAACAACAAGGAATACATCGGCACAGGAAAAAGCGGGGTAGGGATGCCACATCAGTGTAATAGGCTTACCACTTAAGACCTTTTATGGCCGCCTTCACTTTCATTTCTAAATCGCCCATAAGATGTCTATGTGTATTTTTCACAATGACATGCAGACATTCATGTATAACTTACGATGATAAAAGTTGATAGTCTGACCAGATCAATCAAGCACTGCAACTTGATGTAGCCTAGGTGCATCACATTCTATACATGGTTCCAGCACATGTTTCCAGAAATATCAGTGTCATCACCGCAAGATAACGATCGAAACTAGTTTGCACCATTCAATGCGGAGGAAGAAAGAGGTTATGGAACAGCTATTATTAGAGGTGTCACCTACCGAGCAATGACGCAATGCGGTGTCAGCCTTGCGCTTCCAGAGACCATTGCCAGGCTCTGAATGGAATAGATTTAGCAAAGGCTGTAGAGATTCACAGTAAGATCACGTATCATCAGAGATCCTTGTACCAAAAAATAAGCATCATACTGAGCTCGGATGATTTAGTTGTTACAGAAAATGGCCATGTTGAAAGATCATATATATATAAAAGTGGTCAGTGGGACTAAAATACAAACCTTAACAATCTGTCTAATTCTTGGTTTGTTAGGCCCATCAATTCCCAGAACAGCGTCTCCATACACCTGATACTTCTCTAAAACCTAAATAATAAATAAGTAAAAGGATGAATTAATGCCCATTATTGTCATAACGAACAAGTCTGTAAACGTGTAAAACCTGGCGGCGTGAAAGACCCGAATGAGGGGTACCATATACAGCAGCATCCACTTGTCCAAGGGTGATCCATGGGCTGCAAAGATAGAACACCATAGCCTGATCAGGGTTAACCTACCCAGAAGGTATTTTTGTTGAAGAGTACTGCAGCTAATATACACAACACCTTAGAATTCAAAATAATTAATTATACTTAGCATGCACACTTAACCGATATGAAATATCTAAATAAATGATGTATCCAGCGATGAAATCCAAACAGAATTTTCAGAAATCTTCACAGGAAACTCTAAATCAGTAAGATGAAAATTACCAATAACTGGATGAATTTCATTCAAAAGAATTTGTTAAGAAATCCCTCAGCAAACATCTATTAATGTCTAGTTCAAAGCATCAACATAATTTTCCTTCTTTGTTCTTAAACGTGGGAAAACAGACATGTTCTAGGAAATAATTCACGGGAACTAATTACTTTAATTCTTAAACATGTTCTAGGACTAGGGGGTATCAATACATTAGGCTAATGTAAAAGCTGGCCCCATTTCTATTTAAGCATGGACAAAATAATCTCAATGAATTTTGAACTTGCCCAGATTGTGGGCAGCTGACCCCGCGTTTAAGTAATCTTGAAAATCCAGAACCTATCCCCTTGTCCAGCACAACTTCCCCCCCACCTCCCCTAAGAGCAGTCCCTTCCCCCACATCCTCTTAGTGGAAAGCCTCAACAGTGGAACACAACCTCCCAGCCATAACTTCTTCCTCACAACCCACAAATCCTTTCTTTCGTCAAAATAAGAGGGCTTGGCCCACTATAGATATTACCGGTATTTAAACCAGTGTAGAGGTTAATTGAGATAAGACTTTTCCCGGGAATCTACTCTAAAGGGATTTCTGGGCAGCTCTAGTGAGAGGGGAGGGTGAAAACCTGATCAAGAAGATCAAGAAGAAGATCAAGATCCTGGTTTGACACTTTTCAATTATCTCCTGTTCATGTGGAATGTTAATAACATTACCTTTTTCGCCTTGAAAATGTCCCTGAGCAGATAACTCCACTGCATGCGAAAAATGTGAGGATTCCACATGTTTTTTTTACTGTATGCCAAATATATTGTAGATATTACATGGCCCACACAAGTATTCAACCTTTACTTTTTCATCTTTTGGTTGGTAAATATTCCTATCACCATCAAATATCATTCAGAATTGAATTTATCGAACTAGGTACTGGCAATTAGTTGCAGTAAATTGCCCCAAGGGGAAAACCAACCGCATAGCTCATCTTAGGTCAAAATTGGAAGATTTTATGATATTTTCATACAATCAGAAATTTCTGCAAGTGTGCAAAGAAAACATTACACAACTGGAGCCCCTTCATTTTCCAATATCCCTCAAAGAAGGATGACTTCATCTAACTTTCTTCTTCCAAATTTCACTGTCTTTTTTTTCCCATTTCATGCATTCCTAGTTCATTTCTCCTGTATGATTCAGTTGTAACATGTAAAGGTCCAAGAATTGACTGGTGGAGTCTAGATGGTAATGGTAGGGGCAGACATTGCTATTCGACAAGAAATGGTGGGGGCAGACGACTGGAATGGTCATTTTATGCAAAAATGACTTTAAACCATGATAAGACTTCTGATTTCAAAAACAAAGCATAGCCTACACATAGCTATTAGAAAAGGTATTAAAAAGGGTTAACTTTTCTATGTGATATCCAACGAAAAATATAGTGTTGCTCATTGAAGTCTCCATGCAAGAGGGACGTAGATGTATGGTCATCTGTAGCTACAAAAACACAGATACGAGATGATTCTGAAGCTCTGCCATGTACCCTCTAATAACTGGGAGAGAGACTTACAAAGGTAGTGCGGAAACATCCAGTAAACATAGCAATAAAGAAAAACTTCAGCCGGACAAATTCAGGAATAAAAAGGAGCAAGTGGAGACACGAGTTCCTAGGTGCATTATCAGAGAACTTGGCATCATAAGTTGTTCAGGGTGGATATACAGAACTAAGACACAAATCCTAGATGCTACCTTCAGTCATTAGTCTCACAGAACATTGATAAATATCATTGAAAATAACCACATAGTCTTAGCCGGCCATCCATAGGAATTTAAAAAATTTATTTACTACATTTCATCTATAAAAGGCTTTGATTCTTAAAAAACTTGAAGCGATGTGAAGGGTGATTTGAGCATTGAATTATTTGGGAGCATAACAATCTAAAGCTAACTAATGGGAAGGTATGATGAGAAAAAACATTAGAAATGATTTGTCCATGGATTATAAGTTTCTAAAAGAAACATTTCTAGTTCCTCATGCAAAAGTAGGAGACTGCCGTATTAAGGATTACTCGATGAGCACCTATTATATGCAGCACGACCAATCATCACCCTATTGGCTCCCTGTTTCCTTGCTGCATTGACCTACCAGATTAAAACATTAGCCAAAAAGTATTTGCAGCTGGAATAAATTTTACAATATGATACAATCATGCAAACCGAAATGCTACTTGCACAGCAGAAACCTTCAAACAAAAACTAAGCTAATGCTCGTAGAGTTCAGAAAGCAGGCATTATACAAGGACAACAGGCGAGACTATTTCAATTTTTATTCATTTGTAAAAGCAGTAAAACATTGATAATCGGAGCAGGACAGAAAAACCCTAGGTTTCCTATAATCTATGCATGATATCATGAAGGCACAGAAGAAAAGGAGAGCTTACAAATGTATGTAGTCCAAGCACAAGAGTACTTCAAGGAAGAAAGTGATGAAATGATGTTCAAGATGAGAAGACTGGCCAGAAATTAATGTGCTGTACCAAATTCAGTATTGTCATTTCCTCCTCGAACAAGAGTTTTTAATTGTCTTCTCAAATTCAAGTGGTGTCTTCGCCTTGGAATTCCTAAACAAATAGCTGTTGGGATTCGGCTTCATTTCTATTTAAATACCATGTAGTCCTGAAGGTAGAGACATGCTGCACTGACAAGTTGATTGTGATGATAACAAAACCGCAATTTTCATATGTTGAGTTTTTACTTGTTAAACCTGAGAATCCATAGATTAGCATCAACACTTAACAAGAAAGAAGACAAAAGTGAAAAATGAATGCAAAAAGATTGATGACTGTTTTTTGAGGTATCTAGTTTTTTCTTAAACCACGACCCAAGCTCATTCAAGACTTATAAATAATCCATTGTGATGACAAACCTATGAAGAAGGTCAAGAGTAAAGAACCCAAATTGCTCAACTTCTTCAAGTCTTCCTCTCGTTCAAGCAAACAGTTGAAGATCAAGACTTAATTTTGATGGCGAAACTATTAAAAGAATAGGGAAGGTTGGCTATTTTAAAGTAAGATCCTACGTGAAAGCATTGCAAGATGGTTGTTGTAAATTTTGATGGCAACAGGTTGTCTGGAACAGTTATATTACAAAAAGAAGTAATTTACTCTCCTGGAAATCTGCTTTAAAGATATTCTACATTCTGGGCAAATCATACTTTAAACGCATAAGAAAGATGACCTCACCTTCTCGTAGTTGGTGTCAGTGAGAGCTACTGTATTTAGTATCCCCCGAACTTATTTTTTCGATTTTTTCTTCAATGAATGAAAAGATGGCCAAACTTGCTTTATGTTAGTTGAAATTGGAATCATGGATAATTCACTTATTGTAGAATCGTTTGTTGAGGATAGTTAGTCTTCATGTATTCCATACTCAGGCCCAATAATCCATATTGGATCTTCATTGTCCCTTTCTCTTCTCACTATTCCCATGTTCTCTAGCTCTATGCACAGGTTTTCTTGACATAAAATTATCTGATGGAGTTAAGAAATACCTAGATGAGATTTCTCTTCAAGAACAACCACTAAAATTAGAGTTTTGATAAGGCTCCACGCACATATGCCAGAAGGAAGAAGGCCCAAAGCCCAATAAGTCAATAACGGTTAGCATGATCGAGGGAAGGCACAGTTATGGCAAGAAACAATATGGCAAGGACAGCTATGGCAAAGACCGGTTATGGCAAGAGCAGTTATGGCAGGAGACTAACTGCCTAAATAAGAGAGGGAAAGGAGAGGATATAAAGAGGGGCAAATCAGGAAGAAAAGGAGGGGAAAAAATCGAAGTTAGTATCTCGTGCATCTACGAGAAAAGGTTGGAGGGTTATATGTGACCCTCCATCTATTCTGGGTTCTAGGGTTGTATGCGACCCTCCATCTGTTCTGGGTTCTAGGGTTGTATGCGACCCTCCATCTGTTCTGGGTTCTTTTACTGTGTTTTATCTTTGGTATTTCTGTTCTAGAGATTGTTTCTTTCATCTAATACGAATTATTCGTAGTTCTTTGATCTGGGTTCTTATCAAGTTTCTACAGAACTCTGCTGGTCTTCATCATTTTTTTATCATCTTTCTTCAACCTCACTGTTCATCGTAACTGAGGTAGCAATGTGCAATGGGGAAGCTTTAAGCATATCCACTATCTTCAATTGTTAGTTATCACACATTCAATCTTACACCAAGTTAGAAAAGTAGCACCCAGCAATCTATCTTTAATCTATCCAGAACCAAGGACATTAGACTATTAACTTGATCCAGGGAGTAGAATATTGCACAAGCCACAGGTGACTTGATGTGATTCAACTCAAGATGTTCATATGCAGTCAAGTAGCACCCATTCTTCCCTTGGCCTTTGACTCTATCTGATGCAAAACAATCAGTTGTTTCTGCATATGGGAGGGTGTTGATCTATTGGCCGGGAAAGGATTTAGCATGTCTTGATGCCTTTTCTAATGAGGGTCGACTTAACATTGGGAAAGACTTACGTCATACTTTAAGACAGTTTTCCTGGGGTCACGACCAACTTGAGTGGGTGTGCGGGGGTGTGCAAGTGTGTGTGTGGGTTCGGGGGTGGGGGGGTCAATTGTAGTCCAGTGTAGTATATAATTTTAATCAGCTTATGGCCTGCAGTAAAAACAATTTTGTAAATAAGTCCAAGATGAATGTTCCATGTACCTGATTCATGCAAGTGATTCCTCCATTAAGTGTAAACTTCAACTCTGGAAAGTCACGAAGGAGTGCAAAATAATACTCGTATCTGGAAAGGAAAAATATTGGTCAACAGAAAGAATATCCCAATGGGTAAATATATTGGTCAATATTTCTGTCTGTAGATGGGTCAAATAAAAGAGAATACTCCCAAGTTTAAACGTGAAAGAACAGGTTAAATAATTAATTCACAAGATCACGACATTCGTCCATTATGTATTCCAAGTAATGCCTGTGAGATAACCATTGGGAATTCATTAGCTAAAATTCCTAAATTCATATTGAATGTTTTCTACGCAATGTCAGCACATTATCTACATGCCTGGTTTTATATTTCAGGTGAAAAATACTAGCGACAATTGTTTAAGCATAATACAAGATATCAAAACTGAATAAATTGGTAGCTTAAAGTTTGAAAGCATACTTCAGTGGAGGAATCTTCCGATTGTCAGCAGGACTCAATCCATTCAACAATGCTTTCCGAGCATGAATTATAAAATGCCTAGTTGGCGAACTAGAAGCAACTGTATAAATAAAGTCACCTAAACAGAGGAAAAAAGGTTCAAACTATATGAGAGTGAAATCCATGAAAAAAGGTATACTTCTTAAGAAATTTACGAGAAATTTGATCAATCATAGTTCTCATAACACTATTGAGTAGTTTATGAGATTTATGAAACGAATGCTCCATTAAGAATGTAGAAGAGAGCTAGAAAAATAAAAAAGAGTACTTCTCCATGTTGGTGAACTGAAATATGAGGAAGGAATGCATTCTCGTTACAAGTAGAAGGGAGAAAACTTTGAAATTGCAAAATGCAACCATTACGTCAAAAGAGAAGGAGAAAAATGAGGTTAAGATCATGGCCCACCAACCTCACCTATTGCCTAAAGTGAAGTTGAAGCTAGGGTGGACATTAGGGATGAATCTGTACAAGGAGTGCCAGAGTTTAAGACAAACAAATAGAGATCAACATGAAATTAAATTTGTAGGATTTTCCATATAACTGCTTTTTGGCCTAATTCTTTGAGTATATGTTTGTGAAAACCTATTCATTCTTAATTTAATTGTATATTCCAAATTACCTAAGCTTTGTCAACATAAAAAATGAAGAGATTGCTAGGCTTTAAAACCATAATTCTTTAAATTTGGCAAAATTTCTAGAAGGATAACTATTTACATTGTCATACAATTAATGGAATACTTAAATGTAATGGTATCCTTTTTCACTAACTCTTAGAAAAGTATCATAAAGCTTCGAATTGAACACTTGATGTTTCTACTCTTTTCTTGTTTCAAGGAAAAGAATTGACTCACCTTCTATAAAGAGCCAGAAGAAAGAACAAAAACTAGTACTACAAAAAAAAAAAGATAAAATGACGAAGTGCCGTAACAACTGCATACTAGTTGTCAGAAGGCAACGAAGAAATGTCTTTTGACTACTTCAAGCTTCAAACATAGAAAATGCAGCCCGTTTAAAAATGTAAACAAGAGCATTCACTTCCCAACTGTATACCACAAATTTCGACAACTTTCGAAAACATTTGTTGAGGAAACTAACGACATCAAGCTTCCACTTTCAATGTCCATGCATTCACACAAGCAAGCTCTGACATTATGGCTGTAGGCATTGTTTAACTGCATTGCCTCCTTATAAAGATTTTAGAGCACTAGATGACTGTCATTGGTTGTGAATGTTATGTGCACTTGGGTGATTTCTTAAGTTATTTCATCGAGAAACAATGAGCTATAAGGCTAGTATGTTGTCTTCTTAAATTCAGGAATGAGTTAATGCATAGTTATCCAATGAGTGTACTTCAGTTAGTAGAATCTAAGGGTGAGGATTTTAAGATAAGTGCACCGAAAACACGAGAACCAAATTCTTTATGGAATTGCCACCTATATTAAAAATAGGTGGCAATTCCAATAGATTAATGGAACATAAAAATGAGAAACAAAATTAAAACACGAGAAATCAAAACTAAATTATGGAATTGCCACCTATATTATGGAAGCCAGAGCTTCTGAAAACACGGGAAATCAAAACTAAATTATGGAATTGCCACCTATATTATGGAAGCCAGAACATCTGAAAACATGAGAAATCAAAGATGAAAAAGCTTCAGGGTTCTGTACCTGTACCTGACCCACTTCGCAACTATCTGTTACAAATATTTAAGTGGGAGTATGATGGTCTTCCTGCTTTAGAACACATCAGCCGTATCAAGTATATCATTTAATAATGGAGATATAATCTCAAGTTTCTAATCCTTGCCTCTCATGCACCTCGTTTTGGAGAAAATAAGATATTCATCTCCTATCAGTAAAACTTATTCTAACATCGCTCTAAATCCCCTTCACTCATTACAGTGTTCCACATGTCTCTAAATTGGCCTTGATCTCTATTAAGCCACAAACTCAAACTCATATGCCACAGGAATTCGTGCAGAGCCACGAAAACCCCACCAAAATTTCCTTTCTGATGATACATTATCATCAATAGATGAATAGCCTTTTGTTCATAAACCTAGAAGATATTTTCCTGTTAACCTTCTTACTAATGAACCCTTGTTGTTGTGACTTCCATCTGTCTTTGATGTATGACTAGTCTGAAATTTTCCACTTTGGCTTTGCTCACTTTCTCATAAGTAGAGATTCAATCGTCCCTAGTTGTTCATTTAACTGGATAATAAACATATTAAATAAGAAAAAAAAACCAGGATATTCATATACGCATACCAACAGCTCTTAAGCGAAATAAATTTTTACAGGAGGTAAAATATGAATGTCTATGCTACTCTATGAATTCAGAGCTCTGAAGATGGAAGAGCCACTTCCTTGTGACAGAGAGAAACCTTTCCTTCTCTTTCTTCTTTGTATAAAACATAAGAAAAATTACATCTACCATGCCTCACACCTGACCATGATTTGTAATGTCCCTATCGAATGGCCCAGAGGGCTTATGAATTATGAACCAGATCATCATTCAGTCCCTTTTAGAGGGCAGCTCAACTCCCAACCTGTCCATGTCAGTTCTGTAACTACAAGAATAAGCAAATATTTGCCTCTTGCTCTGAAGAACCATTATTAGAGCTGTTGTGAGAAGCACATCAAAAGCTCTGTTGTGATTCATGAATTCCTCATCCCCACATGCCCTTATCCTATTTAAATCATAGAGTACTTGATCACAAGTAGAGAGTGATAGAGAGAAATTCTCCACATCAATGCAGGCGAGACTCCTAAAATCCAATGTGCCACATGGAGTTTTATTCTACCATTAGAATTAATGAGATAGGATAATGTAACAATGAGGTGAGATGGTTATCTACATAGAAAAAAATAATAATAATAACAAAAATAAAGCAGAATATGAATTGATAAGGCTGTCTCACATAGGTCACTGTATGAGTCATGATCATCAACACCAATTCTGCATTTAACACTGACAGGAACATCACAATTGGAAGAGATGGCAGACATAGCCTTCCCAACAAACTTCCCTTGTAAACACCAAAGGTCAAAATTAGGCAATGGAATAATCAAAGGCATTGCCATTGATCTGAGGACAATTTAGCAAAATCTGATCAGTTTCATAAATCAATGGTGATCAGACCTTCGGATCCAGCATAAGACGTGCACCAAAGCATCCATGGCCCGCTACTTTACTACTTGGGCACCCACAACTGAAATGCATGAGAATATGAGCTTTAGATCATTCGAACAAACAGGATATCAACATGGAATGGCATTTGAAAGGTCTAAAACGAACTTGAGGTTAATTTCATCGAAGCAGTAGCTGTTTGCAAGTGCAGCCGCTTTTGACAGGCTCTCCAGGTTGCTTCCACCAATTTGGAGAACAATGGGGTGTTGCTCTGGAGGGAATGCCAAAAATCGATCCTACAGAATTGAGAGTATGATTTGAGTTGACTTCCATACAAATCAGCAAAGGATAAGGAATTCAAATTAAGTACGTGACCTGATTAAAATTAACACAAGAGAACTCTATAATACTGGAAACTTTTAGCTGATTTATACATTCAACTTAAAGAGAATTTTAGGATTATTCATCAAAATAGTCAAAACTTTCTCCAAAATGCTTCAGCTATCTACATGGCAGAAATTTTCAAATACTTATTAGATGAATAAAGGAAGAATTTTCAAGATTTTTCCAATTTTGTTAATCTCTCAACCAGCTCTCTTAAAATCCTTAAAATCAAAAACCTCTGATATTGGAAGTTTATGAACTGTACTCGATAAGAAAATGTAGAGCATCCAGTCATTGAGTTGGATCTGAACATCGTCACTGACGGAGATAGGGAGGCTACCATCCATATCTAAGTCATAGTTAAAGAAGGAATATTATTTCTGCACTTCCATATCTTCCCCATAGCAAGCAAAACTGATATGTCGATTAGTTGAATAATAGAAAAATAACGACCTAAATATATGCATAACAATCAGAGCCATGCTGGATTTTATTAATCTATGGGGGAAAAATAAGTTGGCACAATTTTTAAAGACCAAAGAAGCAAACTGGACATTACAAAGTGGTGGGTATCCCAGAGTAAAATGAAAAATAAATTTAATCAAGTCATCTGCAATGCATCCATGCCCGTTATTAACAGCTTGAAGACACAATTATTCTCCTCAACGAATCTACAAAACATAACGATAAATTTGATTCTCCAAACATAACACGATTTTATCCCTCTTTTCCTAAGGGGTTGATATTTCTTGATGAGACATTGAGGGAAACAGAATAAACCTTATTGTATAAGCAAAAAATCGCAAAGAGGACGAAACTATGATTGAAAAAAAGAAAAGAAACATTTCTATATTCCTTTGTTCAGATATCTGAACCCCAGTGCTAACATCTGTGGCTTTGGTCCATGCTTGTAAAGAACGCTTTATGCTGCTTGTCATCAGGGGTGAACACGTCACACTTATCACTATTGCTCTCATTAGTCATAGAACTGATGCAATGCTTCCCTAAACTACGGAATGTGACCATAACGATCAACAAGAATGTCTCGACTATACAATCCTAGCTACAATATGGTGATATGTTACATCAAAACTCTAACGGTTCGCAAATGATCAACATAAAAATTATGGCCAATTGGCGAAAAAAGTTGGATAACGAAAGGTGTAAGTCCAGGCAAGCAATACATGAGTGACTCAAATGAAGAGAATGACTGAAAGATCGTAATAGACAACTATTCACAACCTCCTACCAAGTTATCCTTCTGATGAACGATGGTCTCCGCCACGACCATCTCCGTGTAGAGCCAGGCGTGCTTGGACAAGAGCCTAGCGAGGGTCCTGAAGTGGTTGTCCGTCCAGTCCATCATGGGCGCCACACTGCAACGAAAATAGAGAAAATCACTCCCGGTTCAAACCAAACCACCGACAACACCATACCTCTTCTTCCACGACAGAGTAGGAAAACAAGCTTGCCTGAACCAGGGCGGGAGATACTGCCGCGGCGCAGGAGTAGGAGGACCGCTCTTACCATCTCCAGAATTCCCCGAGCAGCAACAAGAGCACACACCCCTCGTTCGAGAACGGATACCATGGACGAATACGCTCGTGGAGGGAGCTCCGAGGCCCTTCGCGTGGAGTGCTGCTGGAGGCAGCAGCGCGAGGCGGCCGTGCACTGCAGTCCTCATGCCCTCCACCGGGAACGACCAGCGTCTTTTAGCAGAAGGTGAAGTCCGCCATTACCGTCGTTCTGCACGTCTCTGACTTCAAAGACGCTACAACCATATCTCTTGATGTCTCGACGAGGAAGTTCCTAGAGGCGTCAGAGACGCCACTTGAACCGGGTAGTGAGAACAATTTGTGCCATATGTAAAAGATAAGTGTCATGCATTGCGCCGTTGTACGATAGAAAATAACGTGGAGTGTCTTAAGGCCATGAAGATACATTTCAGTGTAGCATGATCTGCTAACTTTTGTTAAATGATGTGCTAATGATGGAAATCAATGAGCCAAATATGGCAATTTGGAAGAGACACCCAAACCAAGGTGGTGGGGTTAATTATTTATGTGAAAATAAAAATAATAAAGGCAAAGTTGGTTTTTTAGTTATATTCTTTGCCAAAAAAATACTAGAATCCCAATTAAAAGTTACATTTTCTCGCTCACAACTCCCTTTAATTTAGTAAGAAATATTCTTTAAAATTACAACAACTATTAGTATAGTACATATTAATACTATAGCACAAAATATAGAATAGACAAATTTCACAATACTCTGAACTAGTTGTAAAGAAGCTTATAATAATAGTTGGAAGCCATTCTACAATCAAATACTCAAGGGGAATGCTGTCCTATGAAAGGATTAACCCTACCAACATTGAAAAATAGATTCTACACTAGAAATAGTATTTGCATATTTTTCTTAAGCATTAAAAGCAATTAAATAATCTAAGTTTCCACTACTCTGAGCCAATGACCACACATCCAAGGTGTCAAATATGCAATGCCTATTTATCTATAATTTCTTAGATTTATATGTGAATGCCATACATCGACTTTTGAGTCAATTTATGGCAACAATGCTAGATGAACTATACTAACATTGTGTTAGACAAACCTACATAGATGTTCCTTAAGAATAGAATAGGTTTTGCATGCATGATCATTATAAATCTTTAGTTCTAATATTCGTTATATTTGTCAACAAAGTGGTTAGCCATGTTTGTCAATATTAACCACATAGAAAACCATAATTAGATAGCATTTCAAAAAACTTAGATTCAATGGCTTCATAATTATCAAGGAACCTATCTCTATTACCCTCTAGGAATAGACCATTATTTTATTAGTCTGCATAATTAGAAATTTTTCAAAGATTATGTTGACATTGTTGGTTTTAATATTTATAATTAAAAAATTAATGATAAGTTATTAGCTAATATTGATACTACTTTATAGTTGTTACTTATATGTTTCAAATGCTTAATACATTCCATAAATATTTTTTTTTTCTATTAAATTATTATGATCTTATTACTAACGATCAAATCTAAGATTTAAATCCTTGATATCAAATTATTTTTTTACCTGATGAATACCTAAAGGTAAATAATTATCAATTGAAGAAAGATAAGACAATAAAAGATTAAGTACATAGTCATATTTTATGAGTCAACACACATATTGGCATATTCACGAAAGTGAAATATTTTTATCTAAGTTTTCCATAAAGATATAACCATATAGTTGTAGTGTTTATCAGTTTTATATGATATTAGATAAATTCTGTAAGTTATCATGTGTGAAATCAGCAAGAAAATGAAGAATATATCAAATAGTCAAGTTTTGAAAAAATATCTCAAAGGTTTCACATCAGATGTTTAGATGGACAAAAAGTGAAGATAAATTTGATGATATAAATGCTCAATTATTCTTCATTAATTTGGGAAGCTTCAATTAAAATTTTAATTTAAAAGGACATGAAAATTTAGAGATTTAAGTTTGAAAGTCTAAATGTCATTACTACACATTCTAGAAAATAGTAAATTTTAGAACATGTATTTATAATGTTTGAGGTCCAATCAAGCAAATAAGCCAGCATAGGATGAGGGTTTATTGATGAAGAGTTATTGATAGAAAGAATAATGAAAAATATGACAATTCAATGCTCACTATCAAGTTCTTCATGTCACATGTATTAATGACAAATAAGGAAGTTTAAACCTTCATCACCAACTCAATATGACAAATTTTCAATTCATTTACTAGAAAAATTATTCTCCATAAAGCCTGCAAATAATTGGGTGGTTAGAAAAGAGTGTATTTAGTGAAATCACAAGATGTTGGCAGCTTTATTTGACTTGAGAGGGGTACAGTCTATATGGAAATAAATTTCTATGATTCAGACAACTAACCCTATAAAATCAACAAATATTCTTAAGGAGAATAGTTAATACTAGAGGATATTTTTCTTTAGCACTAAAAGTAACGAAATGAGGGGAAAATTAATATAAAAATTTCAAATTTCTTGGTGAGATAGTGCTGAGAAATCTTACCATAATGTGTGTATTGACACATTTATTGGCACATAAATAGGTTTAAGTAGAATTTAACATAAATTTGACTATAGGTAAAACTTTCAAAAACCCCAACTCACCCCCCTTCTTGGTGTTTCGTGCAAACCTTATGGTTTCAACATATTTTAAATAATAAAATTATAAATTATAATTATTAAGGTAAGTAATATAAAATTACTTCACCCTCTCCTCTTCTCTCTTTTTGTTACTTGTACCACTTAGATAAGAGAAAGGAAGCCACAATGTCCATATACTCCATCCAAAACATGTAAATAAGTATATGTATGTCTATTTTTGTGTTAAACTTTGTTCCTAAAACTATTTGACTATTTTGACGTCTAAATATTATTTTATCTTTGAGCACAATTTCCTCGATTTGATGCATTTTTTTATCTATTGTGATTTATATATAGTGGATAACATAATTTGCTCATTCTAAGATTACCATGTTACCCTTCAACACTTTCTATCATCAACAAATTTACAAATGGTCTCAAAGCTAATAGAGATATCACCATAACTCATTGAAGCTAATATTACCAAATGATGCACATCTAGTTAATGCCAAGATTTTCACTTTGGTTTGTGTAAAGACAATGACGTATAAAAGCTGGCACTCAAAGCTTAAGTGTTGGCACCTAAACACATCTGAATAATTGATCTAAATTGTAACAACACATAAATTTATGGTAATAAATCTTTAGAAACAACTTGTGAAAAGTGTGAGAAAGTTAAATTGGAGGAGAAAATATTGATAATAATGGGTTTTAGATGTTTTTACAAGCTTTCATGATTTAAAAATCTAATTCATATGTTTCATAATTCTCAAACTCATGAGCTTTTAAAAAGTTTCCTTTGAAATTTAGATACTTAAAGCTTGTCTCAAAGTCATCACCAATACTTGGATGGATTTGTAAGTTTTCGATTTCATTTTCTTGTGTTTTCTATGAATTATTTCTCAAGGCTTGAACATTTAGTTGGTGCATTAATAAATCAAACTCAGTATAGTGGTTGATTATCACTCTATGTAAATCTTCAAATGAAAGGAGTGGAGACTATTGTTTGGATTGACCAAGCCACTAAAAAGTATTGCAGTTTAGTGATTGTTGTACTTGTTATTTGTAGACTACCCTATGTTGTTGCATTAGCGATTAGTATATGGCATATGATTTTTCATGTGGAACCAATATCATGACATGAAAGCTAGGTGTCAGAGAAGACAGTAGGTTTTGGAGGTTCATTGATTAGTATACCTACGATGCTAGTAAGGTCATAGTAAACTAAGCAAAAATGATACAAAAATCTCATCTTATTTGGGGTGCCTACTTTGAGAGTTCATTTTAACTTCACTAAGCAGCATTCTACTGACCAATGGAACAAGACATTCTTCATGGCAATACTTTTGATAATGATAGCAATGTGATTATAATATTATCATGGAAAATGAACAATGTTTTAAGGTCATTACAAGTAGAATGCCAACATTTTACTCATTTGCCCATACTCCCCCCCACAAATAAGTCAACTCATACTTGTAATCCATCTCAAGGTTTGATTGTTCATATTAGCATTGAATCATATGTTTTCAATAAACCCTTTATTTTTTTCTTCTTTCTCATCAATGGTACATGTGCTTATGTCGGTAAACTTAGTACTATTTTTACATAAATTCTCTTAGTATGGGATAGGGTTGGCATTTTGAAAATCGTTCTTAGTAAACGAAATTGGGCCAAAACATATCATGAAACTGCCAGGTGGAGCCTAATTTTTCACAATTTTGTTCCAAATCGTTCCTTCGTTGCAATCCTAATGACCAAAATTTTGGCAATATGAGAGAACGTAACATACAGCAAATAACACCGTTACCATTTAGCATAGTTAAATGACTTTTTCTATCTAGCACACATATTTTCTGAGCTTGATTGCATAAATCTTGGAAACTATGGTTTATTACCATCCGATAAGGTACCCAACCTTTTAACGGGCATCGAGGTCCTACGACGTGAGCACACTCCTGCTTTGTTCTCATCGCCGGCCATGGGAAAATGAGATACGTAGAGAAGGGCACGGACTTCGTGAGGACCCAGCTCTGTGACGCAGATTTCACGGCATGGTACAGAAGACTGGCCACAAATAAGTTTGTGCACAAGAGAAGTAGTACGAACGCACGAGTAAGCTGAGAGAGTGTCAGCTAGAACTCCACAGGGTCTTCTTGTACGCTTCGCCATCCGGGGGCGGGGAGCTTCTGATTTCCCCGCTACATTTTTCTCTCTCTTCGATCGCGCTCTGTGCGCGGGCCATCAGTTGTGGGTCGGGGCCATGGCGGCGTATTCCTGCGTCGTCGGCGGCCCACCCCTGAGTCATTCCCCTGTCAAAGGTACTGTCGACGGCAACAGATGGCACGGGTCCTTACAGAGGAGGTCGGCTCCGCTTGTGGCCATGCTCACCTCGCCTCTACCTTGTCGGGGCCCTGTTTGGTGGAGCGGCGGCCTTCACCCAAGAAGGCGGAACCTCGTCGTCCACGCGGAAGATAAAGCAATTTCTTCCTCAACATCCCCTTCTTCTAATGACATATCTTCTGTGGATAGCGAAGAATTCGAGGTGTGTGTCGATATCTTAATGGTTTCTTTTTTTTTACATGGTTGATGCCTTCCTTTCGAACTGGTTTCCTCTGCGTTTCTTGTCCCAGTATGCTATGATGTTGCTTTTGAAATTTACTTCTCTGGTTATTCCATGTTGCATATGAATACTCTTTTCTTGAAATAGAAGGCCAAATATCCTGTAGTTGGTTGATTCAGTGTCTAACAGTTTCCCCCGTGAGAAATCAATCAGATTTTCGTCGTGTGAGGCTGCGAATGGGTTTAATTTCTTGAAGCCATTTCATGTTTTTCCTTGTTATGTCATATTAAATACTGGGTCTCCCTGAAATCATCTGGTGCGTCCTCTGGCCATCTTCATTTTTCTCTCTTAAATAGCATTCCATGAAACATGTTACACAAGATTATTCTAACGCATTTTCGTGGTGTGGCTGAGCAAGAGAGAGTACACAACTACCAAAGTTGACTTAGACAGAACGAAAGGAATGGAAAGATACTACAAGGATAAGAATGTGGTCAACTTGAAACATATTTGCCATGAACTGTCCTCCTTGGACCGTTACAATTTCTATAATCGCTTTCTTTCTTTTTTCAAAAGTCACTAATTTTGGAAGCATTCAAATAACATGTTTTCTTATGAAAACAGAGGTTAAGGACATCTGCTATGTCCGCTCTGATGCTAGGAATTGTGACACAGAAGGAATACATACTTGTGCACTATAATACTACAGAGAAGGCTGACCAAAATACCACACCATAGTTTTCAGGGACTCATGTAAATATTTTATTGAAAAAAGGAAAGCATCCATCCATGTTACTGCCTGCCTGAATTGGAATAGAGATTGTTGTTAAACCACTCTAGTCTTTGGGGAATATTCCGTGTTTTAAAAAATTGGTAGAAAATGCTATCCAATCTCTGTCTACTTTCATTGGTCAAAATCTCCTGATCTCTGCTTGAATTGGCCTATTCTTCATCAATTAGGATGACACCTTTCTAGAATAACTGTTTGTATCTATCAAGTGTTTAGTGTGCAAGTCTAAATCTTTTATCTCTGCCTCTCTTGCAAATGGAACAGTAAAAATTCAATCTTGATTTCCAAAGATGAGGTGTGATTTTGTCTTAGTTTTTATTCGTTTGGTAACTGACGAACATATGAAAGTAGAAATCCTTTGAAAAGAACCTTAGTTTTCGGATCTAGAGTATTTTCATCCTTTTGTGCTGAGAGAATAATCGTGCATTGTTCCAGGAGGAATTGGATAGCTTTGGTGTTTGTGACCCCTTATGCTCAGTTGACGAAATGAGCTCTGAGGACTTCAAGGACAATTACCAGCCCAAGACCGACTTGCTGAAAGCTGTTGCAGTCATTGGTTCAGCTGTAGCAGGGACTGTTGCGATTAATCACTCTTGGGTAGCTGCTAATCAGGTCTGTTTTTCTGTTCCTTCTTGTACCTTTAAATTAATTGCTTTTCCCAATCTTATGAGTATTGTCTGGGAAATGGGGTTTCCATAGTTATGTTTCTTGAGCATATTCATCTGCCCACTAAGTGTGAAGCTAATTCGCTTTTGGTGTGGATAACATACCCTTGCATACAGGATGCTGCTATGGCATTGGTATTTGGACTTGGGTATGCAGGCATAGTATTTGAAGAATCCCTAGCGTTCAACAAAAGTGGAGTGGCATTGTTGATGGCTGTTTTCTTGTGGGTTATAAGAAGCATTGGGGTAAGGATACAATATATCATGCTTCTCAAGTGTGTACGATTCTTATTTCTTTATTTCAAGTTGTTCCCAAGCAGCTGCACTTTCATATCTCTGAATGATCTGTCATGCAACTAAAATGATTTTCTCATGTATACTGTGCATTTTTAAGGTCTTCACCTTACAGTCTCATCAAGAGGTTAACTCACGTATGCAAGAGTTTGCATTGAGATTGGTGTGGATATGCCTTGCTCAGAGGTTGTTGACATTTACGTAAATGGGAATTTTTACCTGGCTTGCTACATTTGTACCTTATCCATGTTGTTTGAGCATCTATTTGGGCTAGTACACCTGAAGAAATATGTGATGGTCTCGCCCTTCAATTATGACTTAATTCTCTGCCTTTTCTATGGAGACATTTTTTCCTCATCCTTGGATTTTTCTCGTTTCTTTAGTCTACCATCTCTTTTCGTTTAGTTATTCTAATATGATGGTGTAGATATGTTGCCATATTTATTCCATGGTTCTATGAGAGATGTATAATTCTGTGTTCCATGACTTCATTGAATCACTTGTATCCTCAGATAACTTCTCTATTTAGCTATCCCAGAGAGAGCATTTAGATGAGTGTGTCATAAAACTGTTATTTTCGGAGAAGTTGGACATGACTGGTGCTGCATTAATACTCCTTTTAATCTTCTGGCAATTTCATGATATAATACCAATATTATTATTTACCTTGCTATTTTTTATGAAATTAAATGATGCCACTTTGAGACCATAACCTTTTCAATTGGTCACGGTAAGCAACTGTACATTCATAAGAATCAACAGGTTAGTTTCCAAGGTGTTTTTTCTATCTCACTAGTTTGACTTTGAATTCCTTAGCAGAAACTGACCCCTCTTGAAGGGCCAAGGAGGCTAGATCTGTCCATTTAGCTTCAGCTCAGAAATTTTGCATTCATAAGAATCAACAGGTTAGTTTCCAAGGTGTTTTTTCTATCCCACTAGTTTGACTTTGAATTCCTTAGCAGAAACTGATCCCTCTTGAAGGGCCAAGGAGGCTAGATCTGTCCATTTAGCTTCAGCTCAGAAATTTTGCATCTTTCTCTAAAATGGTAACTGGTTTTTGACTCTTTCTCCTCAACAAATGAGAGGGTGGCAAGATGTGGAAAGTTGGCCCAGAACCTGCTCAAATCATGATGGTTAATTTGTAGTGATAGTGGAAAAAGGATTAGTTATGTTTGACATCATTAGACAAATGAAGGTAGATCTGATGAGGTCATTGATCTTTGTTTCTTGTGTTTGCAAGAATTTCTGAAGCGACTTCTATGGCAGAACAAGAATAGTCCCGAGTTGTGAGGGCATAACCTAGCCCTTGCTATGGAGACTTGCCAATTATACGTCAAACAGATCATCTAGATGGTAGGAATTACTTTGGGTGGTCTCAGCAGGTTCGAGTTGCTATTAAAGGACAAGGAATGCCTAATCATTTACTTCATCCAAGTCTAATGGGTGGATATCTAGGATTTGAAGCTTGGAATCAAAAGGATTCGAGAATCATGGCTTGGATGTGGACCACCATAATTCTTGAGATCCATAGAATTTATTTGTACCTACTTACAGCTAGAGACATATGGGAAAATTCATATCAGACTTATTCAAGAGTAAGAGATGCTGTACAACTTTATGAATTAAAGTTAAAGATGATGACTATGAGATTGGCTTCAATATTAAAGATTGAGATGCCATTTTCTAATTCTGAAAACTTTGTTTCCATCTTTGTTTCACAACTTGAATATATCTGAATTCAAGTGTGAAGCATGTGAATTTGCCAAACATCAGAGAACTCATTTTCTTGAAAATAATATGAAATGTTCAATACCCTTTTTCCATGTTCATAGTGATGTATGGGGACCCACACCCACACCCACACCTAGCACTAGTGGAGCGAAGTGGTTTATCACCTTTATTGATGACTGTACAAGAATGATGTGGATTTATTTGCTTAAAAATAAATTGGACGTAAGTATGGCGCTCAGATAATTCCACTCTCTAGTAAAAACTTAGTCTTAGACAGCAATTAAAAGATTCAGATCTGATAATGCTAAAGATTACTTCAATCAAACCTTCACTTCTTATTTTTAGGAGTGTATATTACATGAGTCATCATGTGTTTATACACCCCAACAAAATGGGGTGACTGAACAGAAAACTGGTCATCTTTCAGGGATGACTAGAGCTCTCCTTATTCAGAACAATGTACCAAAATATTTTTGGGGTGAGGGAGTTCTTATGGGTGCCCACTTTATAAATTGATTACCAACTAAATTATTGAATCTTAAAAGTCTAGTTGAGATGTTATCTTTCTTCTATCCTCATATCCCATTAAAAATGAACCTTATACTAAGAATATTAGGGTGTACAACATTTGTTCATCTCCATGAACAACATAGAGAAGAATTAGATCCTAGAGCTCGAAAATATATTTTTGTAGGATTCTCAAACACAAAAAAGATAATGCTGTTATTATCCTCCAATTTTTTTTTGTCTCAAGGGATATTACCTTCAATGAGAAGGAAACATGTTATGTATAGCACATGAAATCACCATGAGAAGATTCAAACTTTACATGATCTATAATTAAATTTTTTACTTCCTACTGTGAATTTATTATCATACCCCACCATTGTTCCTATTGAACCACCTATTCTTGAATCTATTCCTAACAAAGAACTCGAAAGAGGAAGATTTGGCCTAGTATATTCTAGAAAAAAGGGGAATGCTCTAGAATCTACACATTTTCAAGAGTCCTCCTAGGATGAGTCAAATGAGATATTTCACATCAGCACCTTACCTATTGATGAGGACTTACCTATCACCCTTTGAAAGGGGGTAAGAGAATGTACTAAAAAATTGTTATATCCTTTGGCTCTTTTTTTATCATATGACAGATTATCACCTTCACACAAAACTTTTGTATCTAACCTAAATTGTACCTTAATCATAAAAAATACTTTTGAGGCCTTAACCCATGAGAAGTGGAGACAAGTTATGACTGAGGAGATTGAGCATTTAAAAAAAATGATACTTGGGAACTTATGTGTTTATCAATAGTAAAGAAAGTTGTTGGCTGCAAATGGGTATATACAATTAAATATCATGTGAATGGATCCATAAATACAAAACCTTGTTGGTTGTTAAAAGATATACACAAACTTATGGAGTTGATTACCTTGAAACTTTTACACAAGTAATAAAAATGAATACTGTCAGGATACTTTTGTCATTACCAATACTTTTGATTATGATCTTCAGCAATTTGATGTTAAAAATACATTTTTATGTGGAGACTTAGAAGAGGAAATCTATATGCTAATATTGTGTGTAGATTGAAAAAAGTATTATGTGGACTGAAACAGTCTCCTCAGGCTTGGTTTGGTAGATTTATGAAGGTTATGCTCAAGATGAGATATAAACAAAGTTAAGAGGACCACATTTTTTTATCAAACATTCATTTTCAGGGAGAGTCACGATCTTAATAGTATATGTTGATGGTATATTAGTGATTGGAAATGATGACACAGAAAAGAAACTTCTCAGTCAATGTTTATCCAAAGAGTTTGAAATAAAAACCCTAGAAAGATTAAAATACTTCCTAGGTATTGAAATTGCTTACTCCAAGAATGTTATCTTTGTCTCAACAAAAATATGTAATAGATTTGCTACAAGATATTGGAAAAACAACCTGCAAACCAGTTAACTCTCTAGTTAATCTTAATCTCAAGCTAAGTGCAACTACCGAGGAAGACATTGTTGTGGATAAAAGGATGTATCAACAATTGGTAGGTAAAATGATCTACCTATATCATACATAACCAGACATAATGTATGAAGTTAGTGTCATTAACCAATTCATGCACAGTCTGAAACAAATGCATTTGTAGGCAACCTGTCATGTTCTACACTATTTAGAAGGAACTCGAAAAAACAAGAATTTATTCAAAAAACATGATCATTTAACACTTGAAGTATATAAAGATGCAGATTATGCTGGATTTATTGTAGATCGATGGTCAACAGCTGGATATTGTACATTCCTTGAAGGTAATCTTATTATTTGGAAGAGCAAGAAAAAAAATGTTATAGCTCAATCAAGTGTAGAAGCTGAGTTTCGTGTTATGACACAAGATATTTGTGAGATTTTATGGGTCAATATCATCTTGAAGGATTTGAAGATCAAGATACAATGTCCAATGAAGATTTATTGTGATAATAAATCGATGATTAGTATTACTTAGAACCTAATTCAATATGATAGAATTAAATATATAGAAATTAATTGTCACTTCATGAAGTAAAAATTAGATATTGGGGTGATCTGTACTCTATTTGTGTCTACAATTGGTCAAACTGTAGACATATTCACAAAAGGACTACACAACAACATCTACCATCATCAAGACTGACGAGAGGAGCTTGTAAATGATCAGAGGCACGTGCCACTGCTGACAGTTATATGTATCGGCGAATTCCTTTGCAGTGTGGATTTTGGGTTTTAAATCAGTAGTCGAGACTCATGAATTGCCTTCCAAAGGGATAGCATGATAATGACATTTTTCCTTCTTCTTCAATATGGGATTTTTTTTAGTCTTTTATCGATAGTAAATTTGAATAATCCTATAAAATAAACGTCACTAGAAGTCTGATTTACTTAATGCCTGGACTGGCAAAAATGTACTGAGGTTGTATTATCTACCACTTCCTGGCAATCTTCATAACATAGGTGTCCAGTGACCCTCTGGATAAAAGAAATTAATTTTTTTTGCATACATTGTTAAGCATTATCAAGCTTCGTTGATTTATGTGCTGAGGAGGTTGTAAGAATATAAATAATAGGTCGCTCCTGTTATGAAAAATAAAACGATCATCATGTTCTGGAAGGGAATTATGTTCTTCTGTCCATTTGCATACATGATATGCCTTGACTAAATATCAAGGAAGCAGTAACGAAATTGAATGACCTTGTAAGTAATCATTTCTTGAAGTTGAATGAATAGTCACTTAGATGACCTGGGCCTCCTTAAACTCAATGTTTAATCTGACTCTCTTGTTGTTCTTAAGCCCTGAAAGTTGTTCTCCTTGATGGCCTTCAGAAAGTCGGTCAGAAGGGTAATATTTAGTTCAAAGCTCAAGTTGATCCTTGATGCATATCCAATATCATCCCTCTAGTAGCTTTTTATTCTCTTTCAGAAGTCTCTCTCTCTCTCTCTCTCTCTCTCTCTCTCTTTCTGCTGTGTTTGCGTCCTCCTTGTTCCTTTATGTCCCTTTTTTATAAGCTTTTAGCTCGTTTCGTGGAACAATTATTTATTCATTTTCATGCAGGCCCCTTCTACGGACATAGCTGTTACTGAATTGACTCACGCATCTGCTGAAGTTAGTGAGATAGTCTTCTTCTTACTTGGAGCAATGACCATAGTGGAGATAATCGATGCACACCAAGGGTTCAAGCTAGTCACTGACAACATTACAACTCGGAAGCCACGGATTCTCCTTTGGGTGGTCTGTAACCTCTTCCTTTGAACTAAGAAAGTTAAATTATTTCGTTCTGTTTTCCTCCTAATTTTTTCACAAATCAAATTTCCATCAATTTCTGAACGTCAATTTGAATGAATGCACAGGTTGGTTTCGTGACCTTCTTTCTCAGTTCTGTCCTTGACAATTTAACCTCCACGATTGTTATGGTTTCCTTATTGCGGAAACTAGTGCCACCTTCAGAATACAGGAAGTATGTCTCTATACCATTTTTACTAGTTTGGCAAATTCATCAGGTTATTTAATGTTAAGTGGTACACTCACTAATTTCTTCTACTATGTTAATCCTGTACAAGAATTCTTTCACATTGTGCCAATTCGTGCTTTGTTGGAATCACTGGAGATATTTGACTTTGATTCTATGATTTCTGACTGAATTACCTTGACATCCATTCTGCAATTGCCTAAACAGGTATAGTATGTAATAATACGAAGTTCAGGAATAATATTCGTGAGAATTACAATGATCAAGTTTCCTGTATTCTGTTGTAACATTGTCATGTGCACTCCGTGCAAGAAGTGCATGACATTTATTAGCTTTTTCTTTTGAGAATTTTGTCAAAAAGTGTGATAAAAATATTGAAAGTTATATAAGGACATAACGCAGAATCGTTAAAAACCTGGTATCCTTCATGGAATGGAAAATTGTCTCTACTTCTCTTTTTTCTTATTTAGTTGACTCTGTGATTCAAGAAGACTATTCGTGAGAATTACAATGATCAAGTTCCTGTATTCTGATGTAACATTGTCATGTGCACTCCGTGCAAGAAGTGCATGGCATTTATTAGCTTTTTTTTTTTGAGTTTTTTGCCAAATAGTGTGATAAAAGTATTGACGGTTATATAAGGACAAAATGCAGAATCGCTAAAAACCTGGTATCCTCCATGGAATGGAAAATTGTCTCTACTCTTTTTTTCTTATTTAGTTGACTGTGTGATTCAATCTCATTTACTTCAAAAGGATATCATCTTTTTCCGTTCTCACTGATCTAGTGATGTGAAATGTAGTCTATGGATCAATCCATCTGCTTCAAAACTCTCCTGATATAATATCTAATTTTAATGACTTTGTGTTGTATTTAATGATGGAGAGATCTAATGGCTATACCTCCTCTTTTGATAAAGAGGAAACAAAGAATGTGTGGTTCCTTGAGTTGCGATTGCCATTGTTGAGTCGTATGAATAAAGTAGATCAGTTCATTATTCAAACAGCTGTTTGGAGGAAAATAGAAGGTGATAATTCAGGGTAGATTTCAAAATATTATCAGCAAACCGTTACAAGGACAGATTTTATCATCCTAAAGGTGCGCCACCCCCAGCCCACCCGCGGCCCATGAAATGTCTTACATTGCCACTGAACTGCTTGTAGCGGTGGCTGCTGTCTTAGTAATGAATCCAACACAGCCCCATCTTAGCCATTGTTGATAACAACGAGGCAAACATTCAGAAAAAGTTTAATTGAAGTTTTTGAAATTATTGGATCTAAGATATTCGATTCAATGTCAATTCCTGTAGTGGAGATATATTCCCACGAATGATGGAGCTATTTATGGAATTCGATGGCAAAAACCTTAGAAAATTCTGAAGTACTTTTCTACTCTATGCTCATCCATGTTGTTCGTTATCCGAATAGTCACTTTCTAGCTAAGAACTGGAGTTATAATAATAGAAATGGTCCTCTGCGCGTCATAAAATCTGTGATATTTTTCTATCGGTAATATGTTAGAAAACGCTATCTTGTGCTTCATATGGCCACCTTCTGGCTCATTGGAGCCTACCAAGAGTATTCAATCTAGCTAACTCGAATCTCACTATATTAATCTTTCGTCTTTAAATTTAAAAAAAAATGCATATAGATGTGCATTTCTTAAATCCAAATTACTTTTTATAGTATCCATAAAAATAAAGAAAGGAGTTAACCATATCCATTCAATGGTTTAATGTTTTCGAAATATGAAGAAGTGATGATTCCCTTTTCTATAAAAGAGACCAGCACAGATGTCATGGTTTGCAAAAAGGATTTTTATGATCTGGGTAATCTTTTTTTGGTTCAGTTTCAAGATCGAAAACCCAACCAATCTCTGGAAGTTAAAACAAAAAGGAATTGGTCAATACTATTCTTCTAAGTTAACAATTGAAAAACCTGCTCCAGCCTAGCCTGACATGTGGAGGAGGAAGTGAAAAGAACAGAAAGATCGGCTTGAAAGGTTCAGAGAAGATCAGGTCGAATTCAATTTTTTTATTCAACTTGGAGCGTTGATACATATATCTGAACATTAAGTTCAGGTAGGTCAACCTTAACTAAAAGCTCCAAAACCTTGAGGGGGTGGGGTAGGAGTTCGTCATTTTGGCCCAAATTATAATTGAAAATTCGTACTACAAACTTAATTGAGCATAATTGACGAGGAGCTGGGCATCACGTTATGGAAAAAAATGCATATTATTGGGCAACAATTGCATTCAATGGAGAAAATACTTCAAATTTTCTCTGTTTTAAGATTCGAAGTTAATACTTCGAATAAAATGAAGCGCTTTTGCATGTAATGGCTTGCAATTGGAATGAAGTTGCATTCAGTCATTGAAGTTCTAAATTACATGTGATTGGACACTAGTTTTTAATTTTTACACTACTGAAACTTTTCTGGAAGCGGATTTACCTCTGTAATCCTTGAAGGTGTTGTGAAGGCTTTCGTGGGGGAAGTTTATTCCTTTTATTGTTCATTTTTTACTTTTTATTCTGTAAATATCAACAATAACACCTGATAGTACTGTCTAAGATTAAGAACAACTAATGATACTTTCGTATCATTGCTTGGCAGGAGGAATCTACCGATTTGTCCTTGAAACCATTTGCATTTTTCTTTCTTGTCCATCCATCAGGGCCGGACTTTCTTGAAGTCCCATCTTCAAGTTCCTTTTCAGGCTTCATATGTTTCCTACAGCTTCTACTTATTCCAGTGATAACTGTATGAATGCAAGCAGTTGTCGGTACCACAATTACATTCATTCATTAGTATAAGAACTCGTATTTGTACCCATGAATATTGTGTACAGATTGATAAGTTTCACTGTATATTATTGTTATATTCAGACAGACCGGTGCTTTTCATCTCTTTTGGATGTCTCCCTATCTTCTTCATCATATTGTACTTTTTGGAATATCACCTGTTTCTTATTGTATCTCGAATGTGCCAGGTTTCTAGGAGCAGTTGTTGTAATAGCAGCAAATGCTGGTGGCGCATGGACCCCAATTGGTGATGTTACAACGACCATGTTATGGATACATGGTCAGATCACTACTTTGCAAACGATGCAGGTGTACTTTTATTTTAGATGGTTTGTTATTTTTCTGTTGCATGTTTATATCTATTCTGGTTGTAATCCTACAGTGTCTTGGAATTGTGATATTGTTTATTTGTGCATGTTCTATCAATTCTTGTGATCCATGCGATTTTGGCTTAAACCGGTTTCACTCAAGAGTTATATGTTGTGCATTGAGTTGTAGTGGAATTGCTTGCACTAGTAGTTGATATTGTACACGATGCTAGGTAAAAAATTGTATCAAGAATAGGTTGATCTTCAACGAGATGAAAATTTCAGCACTCTTTGTGCAGCGATTTGCCGCTCCAGACTCATTGTGACCTATTTGTGATGAGTTTACCTATCTTTTTTGGTTATCCATTTCAACTCTTCTGGAATCATGTTGCATGAGTGAAGAATCTGCTTTATTGCAGCCATTGTGCAACTCTTTTTAATTTCAATCTTTAATGTTGTTATATGCTGTTTGAAGGAAAAGAGTGTAACATTAGTTAATAATAAAGTGCAGCATGTACTTTCGTATAGCTGATGTAATCCCACGACACTGACCTGTGAAATAGTTACAGCCATGCCTCCCTAGCTTAGTTTTTATATGACTGATCAAAACTGTTGTTACCGGACATCGTCATGTGTATCTGGATGCAGTCTCCTTTAGCTATTCAGGCGCTTTGGACTAACTCGTTACTTTTCTTTGGATCACCAAGATCATGCCAAGGAATTTTTTGCCAAACAACACTCTTGCCAAATGGGTTGTCTACCTTCAGATACAACAGAGTTACCTTGGACTGGCCGATTATATTATGTTTTATCCATGGGTTTTTTCAAATGCTTAGACAACAGTCCTGAAAAATTGGTGATCGAGTTTCAAACAATTATCATTGGTGTTTTGGTTATGAAAGAGCTGGAAAGTCTAAGTGATCATGTAGGAGTGCATGCTTCAGAGAAAAAGTGGCTGGCACAACACTGTTTTCCGATTTTTCCTTGAGCATTTATTGTAGTTATCTGAAATTCTTACCTGGTTATTTTGGATGGACAGTTGTGTTGGAACTATGAAAGAACAATTACTGATTCTCCCCTCTTCATATCCACCTCTTTAACAGTAGCCCACAGGGCTTTCCCTTGGGTAAATAACACATTTACAAACTTGTACGTGATAGCATCTCCTACAATGCAAGCCTTTGAAGGATATAGGGAACCTGTTATATTATTTTAACAATTTTCTTTAAAGGTAAGCCAATCAATTCTGGCCAATTTTCTGTGATTTGGCCTTATATTTCACTCCCATAATGATACTACTAAAGGAAGAATATGGAAGCATGTCTCATCATCGAAGGGCTGAAGTGAAAGAAAAAGAAAGGAAGAAAAAACTGCCCAGGAGTCATTAGAGATATTTTCTGCTGCGCGGTGCAGCATGCTTTTCCCTACCTCCGGGGACCCCGTTCATATGACATAATAAATCTTGGATAGGGTGGGGGTTCATTACTTGTATCCTCATTAAAGTTCTGTCGCATGTATCCCTTTTATCTATTTTTAAGTAATATAATGTGGTATCTATCTATCTCTGATCTAATTATAACTTGGTATTTTCTTATCCCAAATTTCTCTTCCCTTGTCCGATCCTGATTGGTTGGAACATGGCCAGTCTGACCGCCTGAATCCAATTATAGGCATCTTTCTGGCTAATCCATTTGATCAATCTAGAATCAGATAATTCCAGGTAAATTCAGCCTCTAAATGATGCGATCCAGCGCTATTTTCGAGGTTCAGGGAGAAAACGAATCATTCCCATTTCATCTGTCTTTCATCCGTGGACTCTTTTGGTTTTGTTATAGCATATGGATTCTTTAATTCCTTTCCGATAAAAAAACTATGCTTTTTCTGCCAGTAGATTTCCTGACAATATTTGATACCATTTTATGTAATGTAACTGTATTGATTTTTAAGATTATATCCTCTGAATTAACTGTTGATCAAACAGGTATGATTCTCCTTCGTAGTGAATTCTTGGTCATGCTGATATATTGCTGAATCACATCTGCACAAGCCTGTTCTGAAAATAACTTCCTTTGTCCATATCTTGTTATGCAGAGTGTATTTTTTCAGATATGTTTTGGAGAGTGTATCTTTTTTCTGATAGGCTGTTTGCATAGTTAGTCCATTTCATAAAACATTGGAAATGATTGTGATTATAGCTAACCTAATCATCAAATGTTGATTCATTATCCGTCAGCATTTTTCAAATTTAACACTTGATGAACTGATAATTCATGTTAATGACTAGATTGTTGATAGTGGTTTTCTCTTTGCTGGCAAAGGTAAAACTCAGTCCTAAAGAAATCTTTTTGTTTGTCGTTGATTTTTATTAGGGCTTGTTCATTCCCTCAGCCATTTCTTTGGCAGTTCCTCTTGCTCTCATGTCTCTCACAAGGTATTGTAATCGTTAATTATTTTATGTTTATACCTTTCTCCATCATTATAAGGAATGAATTCACCATCCTCGCCTTATTGCAATGCAGTGAAGTCAACAACTCGGGCCAGAAAACTGACGATGTACTGGCCTCAGAGCAGATGGCCCCTCGGGGCCAGCTTGTTTTTGGAGTTGGTGTTGGAGCTCTAGTGCTCGTTCCCATATTCAAATCTGCAACTGGGCTCCCGCCATACATGGGCATGCTGCTTGGTCTTGGGGTTCTTTGGATCTTGACAGATGCTATACATTATGGAGAGTCGGGAAGACAGAAGCTAAAAGTCCCTCAAGCTTTATCTAGGATTGATACACAGGGGATACTTTTCTTCCTTGGGATCCTTCTGTCTGTGAGCAGGTGGGTTGTTGTGATGCTCTATCCTGTTAATCATGCCCTTTGTTATTCACCCCCCCCCACATATGGACTCGTTTTCTTTTGATTCACTCGCTCAAGAGAGTTTTCCTTGCTTACAGCCTCGAGGCTGCTGGAATTCTAAGAGAACTGGCGAACTATCTGGATGTCCATATCCCAAGCATTGAACTGATTGCCAGCGCCATTGGCGTGGTGTCGGCGATCATAGACAATGTCCCTCTGGTTGCAGCCACAATGGGAATGTATGATCTGACCTCCTTTCCGCAAGACTCTGAGTTTTGGCAGCTGGTTGCCTTCTGTGCCGGCACTGGTGGGTCCATGCTCATCATCGGTTCGGCGGCCGGTGTGGCCTTCATGGGAATGGAGAAGGTCGACTTCTTCTGGTACCTTCGCAAGGTGAGGATCATCTCTCTTCCTTGCACTCTTTAGGTCCAAACTTCTTAATGATGCTTTTTTCGCTAATCTGTCCTTGCTATCTCACACAGGTGAGCGGATTCGCTTTTGCTGGTTATGCCGCCGGAATCGTTGCATACTTGGCAGCTCAGAATATACATTTCTCACTGCCCACTGTTGCCCAGTTGCCATTCCTCTCTGGGTTGTAGATGTATATATTGTCAAGCACCTGCTCTCACACAGCAGCCACCTGTCAATCGGAGCTCTAAAGGAATGGAGGCCAGTGGTTGGGCAAGCATCAACTTATCATCATGCCCATTTTGAGAACTAGGGTTCTTGGAAGAAATCATACTTCAATGGCTCAAGGCCCAGCAGGTGTTTCCTAAGAGGCATGATGGAGAAGCCTGATGGTTAATTATTTTTAAAATTTTTATCACCATGTGGAGGAGGTGCAGTATGTCGATTTTTTCTAGCAGCTTCCATGGCAGCTCATGTTCAATAAAGGTATCCTAAGTTTGAGCATCACTTTCTTTTAGTCTTGAATTTTGTCAGGAGCAAGTTGAGATGAAGATATTGACTGGGGGAACATGGATTATTGGTTTATATATTTCTAAGTAAAGATCTCCCATGAAGGCTAGATTATAATACGCAGAACGTACCTGCCTAGGACCATGAAGTCTGGCAATGAAATATTTATATTGATATTTATTCATTTATAACCCATTCTAGTTGGATTGACATCCACCTAGACCATATACCGAGAGGAGAATATCGCCATCCACGGGCTTGGCGAATGGTGGCCTTTTTGCCATTATTGGGCATTCATAATGCCTTCATTCCCAAACCTGCGCACATGAAGCTTGGATCCTTAATGCCTACTGCAATTTATAGTATTTCTCATGTTAATAAAAGTTTTCTACGACTTTTTAGTGTAAAAAATTTATCCCTTGGCTAGTAAGCGATTTAAAATATTTTTTTGAAATCAGTTTTCTAATGCCCAGTCTCTGTTAATGTTGGAAAGAAAAACAGATTTCATGTGCACCACAAATTAATTGACATGAGAAAGAAATCGAAATTATAAGTCAAGTGAGAAATAAGAAAGCGTTTCTACTGCCATAATCTTTTGTGTAGAAAAATAGGCCTGTTCTTACAAAGCATGAGCTTTTTCCAACACATGTACATCTCAATATTATGCCAGTTTGATGAGGTCCTTGCCTCATCATACATGCCACGTAGGCAACAGGGCTGGCAGTCGCTCCCCTCAACCGTTGCCAATATCAATTGCCTAGGAGCTGAACCAGTGGGTAGTAGTGATGGTTCCGAAATGTAGCAGAATGCGAGACATTAGGAGAATGCGGATCAATGTCCATTCTAGAGTCAGGGAGCCCATAAAGCTCCCTATGGGGCAAGTGAGAGAGGCAAGAGGAAGCCATAGAGTCTCACCCACTCGAAGGGTGACTTGAGAGTCTGACCCACTCCAAAGGTCATTATTGCCCCCTCCTTCCTGTGTTCCTACATTGTTTTGAAGGCCCCCACTCCAAAGGTCCATGGCTTCTCCCCCTCTCCCACTTCATATCTCCCATTTTCCTTTTATGATCTTACCTCATCATGGCGCACTCTCCCTTCTCCTTGGCCTAGATCTGACGGTGTAAAAAACCTCTTCTCTTGTCTACAATGTCATGACATCTTCAAGACATCACCAGCCAACCCAGACTTCTCTCTCTCTCTCTCTCGCTTCCTCCAACAGGCTATCATCTAAGAACGGGTATCGTCCCACCCCATCTAGCGTATTATCCAATCCATCAAGGTATTAGCGTCCATCAGCCTATCCCAACACTTGGGGCTCTATCAAATTGGTATCAGAAAAAACATGGGCCTAAACCACTGGATGCATGCATAGATACTCTTGAAGTCAATCTCGGCAAAGCATATTGACTCACTCCAGCACGAGCACTTGCACCAACTCGGCCTGCTTATGTTGAAGAAGCTGGAGGCGCCTCAACAACAACAAGTGAGTTTCCGAAATTGGGGGAAAAGGCTGGTTGACCCTCCAGATGACTAGCACCGAGGGGAAACAAGTAAGGAGTACTATGCTTCCACCTCTGGGGATAGCAACCACAGCCTTCCTTTTCCCCCTTAGGCGGCAGCAAAGACTCTGAACCTTTAGATGGGGCCAACGCATTCCGAGGCAAATCCTTCCATCTCAAGGATAGATTGGATCACTAACATGGCAGACGTTGAGTCAAGCTTCCCCTCTTCAACGGCGAAGACCCTGAAGGGGAGTTTAGAGTGGAACTCTTTTTCTCTATCTGCAAAACCGCTCCAACTACCAAGTTACAAACGATCGGGGTTTATCTTGAAGGCAAGGCCCTCTCCTGGTTTCGATGGACACATCAACAAAAACCATTCGTAGTTGGGAGGACCTCAACCAGTGGCTCCTCACCTGTTTTGGACCCAAAAACTCGGGGTCGCTGTGTTTCCTGAAAATCAAACAAGATGACTCGGTGGCCGATTACTATAACACATTTGAACTCAAGGCCTTAGTCATCAGAGATCTCCTGAACAAGTTCTTGAAAACATCTTCTTCAACAGGCTAAAGAACAAACTTCATGGCACCAGTTGGACTCAATGCACTCATGAACCTGGCCCAGAAGGCAGAAGCCAAACTCAACCATCTGCAAGGGGGGGGGGGGGGGCACTGACTACCCATGCTAGTTGACGTGGTGTGGTCACCACCCACAAGACTCCAACCGGATAAAGGTTCCCTTGCACAGAGATGGGTCCACTTGACCCTATCTGAATATGCTCAGATGAAGCCCGACGAATCAAGAAATTATGCCTGCAACAAAAAGTACACCCCTAGCTACCGATGTCACAAGGAGTTATATGTGCGATTGATTTAGGAGGATCCCATTCAAGACAAGCCAAGCAAACGATGAGATGATAGCTAAAGAAGATGAGGCATTGGCCACCTTATTCGTCACCCTCAACTCACTTACCGAGGACACACCCACTAATGCCCTCAACTTTGCCAGATTGATCCAAGACCACCCTATCTCTGTGCTTGTAGACACAGGTTCCACGACTTCATATCCCTTCCGGTCACACAATAGCTTTAGTTACTCATATCTTCTATTTGTGGTCACCACCGACTGACACAAGGGAAAAATTCTATTGTCAGCAAGATATATTGCAATACAGTAGGGCAGATCTAGGACGTCATTATTATAGAGGATTTCCTCACACTTCCACTCATCTCCATAAATATTATCATTGACATGTATTTGTTGATGTCCTTAGTTTTGATACTTTCAAAGAAAAATTATTGAATCGTTAGTGGACATCATGATAGTTTATATTAGAAGTTTAATATCTTTGAGAAAAAAACAATATATAAATATTGACAATACACAAAACAATCCTATGACTAATAACAAATCTATATAGTTACATCTTGAAGATATTCTTCATGATTGAATATAATGTAGCATCATATTACTCAAGCATAAGTATAGAAGAACATGTATCAACCAGCATGATGAAGTCTCACGTACTATTTAAAAATGTGAAGTAATATTTGGAATTTTACTAGACTTGAGAGACATGAAGTCAAAAGCCTGAGTAAGGAAAACACTTGAAAAATTAAATCACATAAATTTAGGTGTGAGATTTGAACATAATACGTAAACTATGAAAATACAGAAAAAATGGTAGCCAAAATGTTAGAATATCATGAAGATCAAGGCACTGACAAGATTTGAAATCAAGGCCTCACTATTAACACACTGAAAAGCTAATCAAGGAAATATGGAGTAACATCACGTGATCAATGTCTCAAGAAGGGATCAAACTTAACATCAACAGAATGATTTGAGTTGAAGTATTCGCATGAAACCCTTATGGAAGTGAAGAAGTTTTTGCCACATACCCTTGATGGTAACATGGTAGTGCTATAAGTAGAGAAAGTGACAAAGTAATGACATACTTCGATTCAACCCCAAAGTAGAAATAACTGTTGAAGTATCAAACATCTCCAGATTGAAACTTCGAATGTGATTTATGAGAAAATTATAAGTCTCAAAGCAAAGGAAGATTGAAGCTTAGTAACACATATTCTAGATCGTAACTCTTAAATAGAATATGTGGGGAATGATAAATTCGAATGCTATATTTGAGCTAGATCCTATAGAGAAAGATGCCCATTGATTTATTACACATCTCTAGATATAATATCAAAGATAACTTCTATGAGAACGAAACTTTGAACTACAGAATAATTGAAGGTCAGCAACATGAATTCTAGACAGTAACACATCAACATAATACATGGACAAAATGACAAGCTCAACAATTGCATTTGAGTTAGACCCTAAGATTGAAAATATCTACTAATCTGTTATGTATCCCTAGAAAAAATATCAAGACCAATCTATGTGAGAAATGAAAAGCTTTGAATTGAGGAACAACCAAAGGTCACTAACACACCAACAAAGCAATGAAAGAATTTCAAATTCATGACCATTTATCAGGTGACGAAAAGATAAGAAGATGTTAGAGGATATAAGGAGTAAGCTTACAAGGAACTTGAATTAATGTTAAACGAATATATCTATTCACTTCATTCATTCATATTTAGGACAACATCATAATATATCCATCAAAGCAAAGCTACTGCATACCTCAAAGAAAGAGTTGAAAGCTTCATCATATGATTTAATCTACTACAGTGATTCAAGTCAACAACTACATCAAAGGTTGACTCTCTCTATTAGGCCCTAAGATAACTTAGGTGGTGAGTAGAGAGAGGCTTAGGCTAAGACATGAGGTTTTGAGAGCTTACAAGTGCCTGTGACGGGTGTTGTATCTGGTGAGACTTATGTACTTGACTAAGGCATGTGGTGTTGAGAGTCGAATTTTACTTGCGAAGGATATGATCTCCGTGAAGATCACCCAAGAGTATTTGGGCTGCTAGTCTTGTAAAATCAGTTGTATTATTTCTAGAATGAAATCTTAAACTTTGGTAAGAAGAATCTAGGATGAGATGCAATCTAGTGAAAAGTGAACCAATATAAAAATTCTATTCTCTCTCATGTTGACGAGTGAGGGAGAGAGATTAGAGTGAACCCAAACTTAGAATAGAGAAAATATGTGAGAATCTATGTTAACACATATTCACAGTCAGAACAGAAGAATAGAGTAGAAAATGTAAGAAACTAATTCATCTCCCCCTCTTGGGTCTCCTTCCAACCATTCACTCTCAATTTTCCAAAATTTTTGAGGAATGATTGGGCCTTCTTCTAGAGAGGATGTTGAGCACGACATCACCATGGTGCCCAATGTGATACCAGTCAATATAAGACCATTTAAATATCCTCACTACCATAAGGAAGAAATTGAGCAATTAATGGGCGAGATGCTAAAGGTGAGGATCATTCAACCATCAATCAGCCCCTTATCCAACTTGGTGTTCGTAGTAAAAAAAGATGGGAAAGTGACACTTATGTGTCAACTATTGTGTATTAAATAAGGTCGACATTCTTGATCACATCTCTATTCCATCATCAACGTGTTCCTTGACAAACTTAGTGCTAAGATCTTTTTCAATCTTGGCCTTCACTTCAGCTACCACCAAATCGAAATTCATTGAGAAGACATTATGAAGATGGTGTTCCAAACCCACGAGAGGCACTATGACTTCCTTGTCTAGCTGTTTGGTCTTACCAATGCTCTGGTCATGTTCTAAGTACTCTTGAACTAGGTCTTTCAAGCCTATATGAGGAGATTTATGTTTGTTTTCTGTGACAACATCTAAAGCTTGTCTTTGCCAAACTCGCACAACCCTAATTGTAGGTCAACTCCAAGAAATGCTTGTTTGGCCAAGAAAGCATCATCTACCTAGGCCACATGATCTCCTCTACAGTCACCATGGACCCCAAGAAGATCAACACAATGCTCAATTGGCCAACATCAAAGACTTTCAAAGAACTCAAAGGATTCATTGGCTTCACTAACTACTACAGATGATTTATTCAAAGATATAGTACAATCACTTGGGCCTTGGCTCACCAGCCCAAGCATGACATCTTCCACTAGACACCAGAGGTGGTGGAAGCCTTCTAGTGGCTGAAATATGCACTCATCACCATCCTTGTCTTGACTCTCCTTGATTTCTCATAGGCTTTCAACCTAGAAGCTGATGTGTCGAGATGGGGAGTTGGTGCAATCCTTATACAAGGAAAACGACTCTATTACTTCAGAAAAGCTCTCCAGTATATAAATGAGAACTCATGACCATCATCTTGGCCATCCTCAAGTGGCATCACCACTTGTTGGGCAAATGCTTTACTATCTTTACATACTAGCAAACTCTCAAGTTCATCCTAGAATAACATTAGGTACTGCCCAACTACTAGAAATGGGTATACAAAGTTCCCAATTTTGATTTCTAAATCCCTACAAAACTGGCATCAAGAATAAGGTAGTAGATACCCTATCTTGTCATCTTGAGTCATCTATGCTGCTACCCATGGAAATCTCCTGCAACACCCCCGTCAACTTTTATGAAATTCGATGAGAGTATGCAGATGATGAGGCTCTTCACACCATCATCACTGCCCTGCTACTACATCTAGACTAATGGCCCAAGTATGTGCTCCAACAGGGACTATTGCATTGAAAAGGTCAGTCAGTGCTTTCGGGCATTTCCTTGCTCATTTCAATGATTTTGCGTGAGTTTCATGACTTTGTCGTTGGGGGGCACACTAGATTCCTTTGAACCTACAAGAGACTCAGCTATTATATGTTCTAGCATAATATGAAAGCATGTGTCAAGGAGTATGTGAGCAATTGCTCCATGTCTCAGCATTACAAGGTAGAAGCTCTCACCCCAGTAGGCCTCTGTCAACCACTTTCTATCCTAGACAAGATATGAGATGATCTCTTGATGGACTTCATAAAGGGCCTTCTCCCCTTTGATGGATACAGCATAGTTCTTGTCATCATCAATCCCTCAACAAATCCACTCACTTTTCTCCCCTCAAATACTCCTTCATGGCATCAAAGGTAGCATGAGTATTCATCCTTCAGATTGGGATCCCATGGCATTCTGGCCTCCATACTCTTAGATTGGAATTGGATCTTCTCAAGATTATTCTAGTGACAGCTATTCCCCCTCCAAGGGACCACCTTGCATTGCACCAGCTCTTACCATCCCTAAATAGATGGCTAGATAGAGGTCATCAATAAAGGTTTGGCAACTTACCTTTGATGTTTTGTAGGGAACCGTCATTACTAATGGTATAGATGGCTTGTATGGGTAGAATTGTGATACAACACTACATTCCATATCTCCATGGGGTCCACCCCATGGTGAGAGCCTCCCAACATCCTTTTGTATGAAGCCACGACGACACACACTAACGGAATAGACCAACTCCTTCACGAATGAGACAAGCTTATTTCTTAACTCAAGTCCCATTTGCAAGCAGCTTAAGTCAAAATGAAGGTCATCACAAACCGTAAGCGTTGTGATGTGGAGTATTCACTAGGCTATTGGGTCTACCTCCGCTTGAGTCCATATGATCTCAAGTCCCTATCATGGCGGCTCTATGAAAAGCTTACCTCTCACTTCTACAGGCCTTTCACAATCTTGGACTGCATAAGGTCATTGCCTATTGGCTGCAGCTACTTCCCTCAGCATACATTCATTCGGGTTTTACATCTTGAAGTTGAAGCCAACGAAAGGCAGCCAACAGCAGCAACGCTCTCAACCTTTTCTCCTCAACTCTAACAACCAATGGGACATCTTCCCTGCCACAGTCTCTATCCTCCATCACTCCCCTCATGGCTTGGAAGTCTTGGTCCAAGTCTTGGAAGTCCACCTAGGAACCTACTTACAGTATCCTCTAAGCTTTTCCTAATTTTTATCTTGTGGACAAGGTAAAAGAATTAGGGGGGAGTATTGATGAGGTCCACATAGGCGACGAAGTTGACTATCACCCACCTCAACCGATGCGGGAGAGGTAGGATAGAAGTTGTGTAGTCTCACCCACTTGAAGGGTGGCTTGAGAGTCTGACCCGCTCCAAGGGTCATTATTCCCTCCTACCTTCCTATGTTCCTGTCTTTCTAAAGGCCCCCTGTGGTCCTATATCTCCCTCACACTCTCTTCATCTCTCATTTTCCTTTGACTTCCCTTATCTTTTATGAATCATATGATCTACAGTGATCTTTCCTTAGTGTGACACACTCTCCTTTCCCCTTGGCTTGGAACGATGCAGAAAACCTTCTCTCATCTACAGTGTCGTGACATCTTCACGACATCACCAACCAACCCAGTCTTCTCTCTCTCTCTCTCTCTCTCTCGCTGCAGCAGGCTATCATCCCACCCCATCTGGTGTATTATCCTATTCATCAGGGTATTCGCATCCATTGGCCTATCCCAATATCTGGAGCTCTATCACAACCCTGTGTCGTTCCACAAGAGCGTTAGGCAGTGAATGAGCTGTCCTAGAGCAGCATTACGAAGAGGAAGGGGATTGCACACAGAAAAACACAAGTGATCAGAAGACCCATGAGCTAGGCCTAGTTTTTTCTTTTTTTCTCATAAAACACAAGTTTTGAATTAATTACCCATAACTTTACAGAATTTGTAACTTATTGTATGGCAATCACAGCAGAAACACTATCAGAACCCAGCATTGGCCCGGAGAAGGCTCGAGGCCGGCTAACCTGCCGATGAGCAGGAAACTGTGCCTGCAGGGCCGGCTTTCTTTCTTGTGGCGACAGCAGCAGAAGCTCCCTTTTCAGAAGCCGCCCTCCTCAGCATCCTCAGTGATCCCAGCGACTTCTTCAGGAGTTGCCATTGGCCTGGTTTGTTCTGCTCCATCAACTTCAACTGCGCTCGTCGAAATTTCCGGTGTGCAAACCAGGACCCTCCTCGCCACCCCAGACTGTACCTGCAATGCAAAACAACAAAAAAAATGCAGGAATATGGTCTACTGGGTGCCGAGTCTTTGACAATTTGACAGCATGAACAATCCCATTGCAGCACAATCGTTGTAGAAACCAACAGCCGTATATTCAGAATGGTGCCACGACCCATGCCGAGAACATTGAAGAAAGAAGACAAATAAGAGCTTGGACCCAAAAAGTATCTGTTAATACCACAAGAAATGCCCATATATCTATGCAGAAACATGACATAATTAGAAACCAATTATTACGCCCACAGGCAGATCTGATGACATCTCTAACCAACAGAGGAAGCCATATGTCAACAGAAAGCAAAAACCATTTCCAGATGAAATGGGTAAACAATCTCCGCATCCTTTACCCACAAATCCATCCAAAAAATCTGCGTTGAAAGAGAGAAACTAATAACTCAGAAACCAATATCCGTCAGCTCTAATCATGCTCAGCGTGGCATCAAAATTTTTAGTGAGCAGACCCCAAAACAGACAATTATTATTTTTGACCTGTATCAGAATCTTATGGCACTCATTAACCTCGAACACATGTATCTTTATCACAGCCCACCATTGCTAAGGAGATTCGTCCGATCTTCCAGCTCAATATGGAATGGTGTAGTCTGTCCTGACAATCGTATTCCTTTCCCCTTTCCGAGTTATTTCACCTGAGTTAGCATGTCCTGATTCTTTGAAGACAAAAATATAAGTTCAAAGTATAATCATATAAACAGAAACTGTCGTACTTAATTAATGCAATTTAGGATCAGAAAATAAGAATTTACTCCATCCCCATAAATAGCAAAGGTACATGGAAATAAACAAAGGCGGATTTTCCTTCAAACACCCAAGTTTAGAAACCTTTAGTTCAGATACGACCACAGAGAGGGAGATATGACAGAAGTTAACACATAGCCAACACATTATATCATAGAAAAGATATAGAATAGACAAAACCAGGCTAGAGGTACAAACAGGTTTAAGAAACCAAGAGCTAACCCAATTATCAAAGAAGTCCATCCAGTAGCAAGACAAGTCGCCATGCTAACACCCCCAGAACTAACAATCTTTCTTATCTCTTCATGCCTTACGTCAGTACTGCTTTTCATCTGTCCAAGGAGAAATTCATCCACAGATAAAATTTTAGATGATAAATACAAAAAATTGAAAAGATAGAGCCGTAAGTAAAAATAGCAACATTACTATATTCAAAATCTTAAGAGCATCCTTAATAGTAAACAAATACTGAGTATCATTATTGGAATTGAAGAAACAAAAGTAAACATTTTCCCCAAAGATTAGACAAAAGGTTCCAAAACTAAAAGACATGGTTGACGAAATATATAGATGAAGACAAAGACGAAGAAATAATATAAACAAAAAAGGGCTACAGCAGAAACCTGTTGACGAAAGAAGGCACCATCTAAGGAATGTATGATGAACTTATTTCCAAGCTTTGTAAGGCTGCTAAAGGATGTGGTACCTCATTTCCAAACTTATTTAGACTGAAAAGAAGGATTCGAGATTTCTCTTAAATAATTATAATGCTCTCCGTTCCATTTAATTCTTTCACAGGTTTCTGATAACATGCACATAAAAATGGGCAACTACATAACTTTCTATCAGTTACAAAGCGAAAAAAATCGCTAATTTAACTTTGTAACGGGGACCAAAGTGAAGGATTAAAAAAAAATGCCATACAAATCAGGAAGATGCTTCACCCATTAGCCTTCCATATGACAACTGATATCCAATGAATTAAAAAGTTCAACAGTCATCTAAGAATTGTACAAAGATGACATCTCCTCGAACAATCAAAAGAACTAGGGAGAAGGAATTCGAATGACTGAAAATAAAGTTAGGCACCCCATCCACTATCTTTTTCCTTCTGCCAAATTTTCTTCGTTCTTTCTAGAATTCCTATTGAAAGAACTAGGAGTTTGTTGTAAAAAAATCTAGGATTTATTACATCCAATTTTAGATGTATGTAAATCCTTCAACCTGGATGTGTGACAAAAACTTATGGGTTAACCCAAGACAAAAATAATCCTGATTGCACGGATACATACTGCAATTTATAAAATTGCCAGATATGCTGGCCAAGTGTCTGAACGATCACGTACGCAGATAAAACAAAACCTACAAACGTGACTGCGAAAATAGGGGTATTTTATTTTCCATGTAAAGGTAGACAATATCGAAATGATCATAACACGAAGACAGGAATGAATAGCGTGTAATAGGGAGTAAGTGGGAACAAAGATATGAAATAGGAACTGACACAGCATACACATTGCAGCAGGACAGTGGACATCAGATTTTCCTAATACAAGAAGAAAAGAAGAAATAAAGTCCAAATGTGAATCAGTAGCTTCACATTTGACATTGCAATCAACTATAGTATTTACTCCAACACGAGGTGACATTAGGCAAAAAATATTGATGGTTTTTAAAAAGGATCAAATAATATTGCCAAAATATGCAGAATGACACTCCCCCAATTGGCATGCCATTGATCACATAATCAATCTGATCTACCAGCAATGTTGCAATTGTTGAGTTCGATACTGTTGGAAGTTCTAACAGGAATATTGTAAAACATTGAGAGTATTCTGGGAAAGAGTCTGTACGGTTTACTTCCTTTCAAGGGGTGTGAGAGGTCAATGATGGGTTGAGGCAGTATCCACCGTTCCTCCCGTCCTCCGTGACGGAGTAAAAACCTCCCGTCTGTGTTTCTTAACAGTTACCATCATTACTTCATAATCTTCACTCATGGCAATGAAATTATCTTTTACAAAACATGCATCATTATGCCTTCCAGCAGAATCAAGGAGTCTCACATTGTCTTCTAGTCACACAGCAAATCCTAGTTGAACAATGAACACCACAAATTATGTTATGAAAAGAGTCTGATGGAACTTAATGTAAATAGATTAACCAGGCATTAATTTGTTGACATTACTACAAAAAATGCTAGTACGTGAAAAAATAATGTTTATCACGATGCAATTTATTTCCCGTTCTTATATCAATCTGTTTTTGTAAAAACATGAAGAAAATCTGACTTGCAACCATTCAAACAATAAGGCCGCTAACACAGTGGGATATATTAAGGTATGTTACGCTATACCTAAAATGGGTTTTGTGACATCAGTGCCCCAAAGTTATGAGTTTTCATTCCCTCAGATGGGTCCAGATCTGAGTTTTTGAATTTCTATGGACGTCCAATGCAACATCTACTACCCAATCTTCATGCAACGTTCCTGGGACAGCTTAGAAAGATTTGAGAATATAGCAAAAAGAAGGGAGGGAAGAGAGGAGGAATATGGTGAATCTTCTCGTCGTTAAGAAAATGGAGAAACTGCCATAAATACCATGGAGATCTGACCAAAAAGGAATATTTTTCAGCGAAGAATAGTATGCTAACTCTATTATTTCTATTACAGATGGAAACATAACATTGAAAATTGAACAAAAAGGAACCTAGTATTTTAAAATAATAAGTGGAACAACTAAATCCATTAACTAACTGACCAACCAAGAGGTTCATACTAGCAACCTATTAACAAAACGGAAGGATGAAACACAACCAGTGACAATTGAGATAAATTTTCTGAAGTACTCCATTCAACATAGTTTAATATGTGAGCTTTTTTATGAGATTCCTACATGTCTCATGACTTCTTGTATAAAACACCAGATTACCATGAAAACTTAAACACCAGAAAATTGGGGCAAAAAGGAAGCAATGTCATATTATTATACTATTGAGATAGAAGCATGTAGAATCGCTCTCAATAAACTTTGAAATGACTATTGAGGCTTAGAGAAAAAATTACTACCAAATATTTAGGCTAAGTTATCAAGTCCAAATGGACTTCTACATTGCTGCAATGAGTGAAGAACATTCGGGATTAATGATATAATCTGAAAGCATATACAACAAAAAATGAACAAAAATCTGCAAAGAAAGTATGTAAGCCAAATAAAACCCAACATTTTCCTCACAAAAAACGTTTAGTAATTGCTGCACTCACAGTTTGTTCAATTGATTCAAGTCTCTTTTCTACATTTACTTGATGGTAGTATCGTAATGAATAGCCTACACCATAAGAAAATCAAGAGAATCAGAGCAGAATGTCCAGTTAATGAATGTGCAGAATGTGAAACGAAAAAAGGTCTCCCCCTACACAAATTTAGATTCCAGCCAAGGATCATGAGACAGCATTACAGGATTAGTTGCCCAACCCACATAAGTCAATTGACCGAATTGGCTTATTCAAGAGGAGGGAATATAGGATTGGGTTCTCTTTCTATTACGAAAATAGTAATGGAAAAGCATTAGACGATAACATATGTTCTAGAAAACTTCCACTATATGGCTCTCTTCGAAAGCATCATAGAAATTAAAAATTTAAGAGTATTTTTATTACCCATGATGAAATCATAAAAATGCCTTACGAAAAAACATCAATAATAAAGTAAACCAACTAAATGATGAATAACACACAGGTTCATAGCTAGAAGAAGCCCCATTATTATTCCAAAATTTCTTATAATAATCCACATATCAATGGCTTAATGAACTTGTCAACTCTTTAGGCCTTCAACAAAAGTCTCTTGGAGATATGCAGATTGACAATTATTAGAGTTATGTCAAAAAATGTATTCTCTTGTTGATAAAGTACTCCATAATAAACGGCACTGATCAAAAAATAACTATATTAGGCCATTTAAAAGGCTCTTTTACTTTAAGATGACAATTCTGCGAAACATAAGAAATTTTTTGGACCGCTGTATTTGTGTTCTCAGGTAAACTGAATCACAAATAAAGTTCACCAGAGAAGAAGTACTAATTAAGTACTAAGGAGGGAATGATTCCGAAAAATCCAACTTTAAAAAGCCCATTCCTTTTGCTTGCAATGTGACAAGAAAAGGCTTCCCGATTGAATAAAAGTTCAAATTTTCAAGTCTAACATGAAACAAGACTGTATTCTGTGGTTTGAAAAAAAGATGGCAACTTACAACTTCTTTGTGGGATGTGAAATTATTATATCCAGAGAGATCCTTTATAGTACCATCCAAAGTCAAGTTAATGATTAATCATATCTTGCTGAATTTTGCAAAATTGAAAACGAGAAAAGAACTCAATGTCCTATGACCTCTTATTTCGATTGGTGAAGCTTTCTTACCAGATATCCCATGAACTCTTTGAGGGAGAGGAATAAGAGGAAACTGCAACCAATTCATAAAAGCACAGTACACACCATCGCTGCTGAGGTGTTTGTAACAAGCTGGTCTAGAGGAATGGGAATAGGAGATTGTCTTCAATTATAAGTGCATAAAATGTTTGTAACATAGGAAGAGCATGTTATTCGAGCTTATGCCTGTTCTTAATAAACTACCTTGACAGATCAGGGGAAATGTGTGCTTTTTTTATATTCTTAGCATTATAATTTATGATCTGGCAAGTGAGGAGAAAACATAAACCCTTTCTTTAGACTTAAACGAGAAATTTGGTGACAAGAAAACGAGAAGTAATTGATGTAGAGATGATAAATTATCTTCCATAAGGCGTTTATTAACACAGAATTTAATTGAAACGATTCTGTAAAGAAAAAAGGTCTAATAAAATGAGTTTCATACATGAACTCAAGGATAAATTCCTACGAGTCCTTGCAGGAGAGTTGATATGGATTATCCCCTGCACCGAAATTATTTGATAATGTGGACATAATCAAACCCATTCAGCAAGAAATGAAACTCATTCAGCAACCATCTCACGAATCCTAACGATCACTCAAATCGACTGCCACGAGGAAAGGACATAATGGAGTTGAAATACAGCGAGCAAGATAAATGCTCGCACGGACAAAGCAGCTACCAATTGCATTCCATTGTGATCACGAAGGAGAGGAATGAGAGAGTCGCCGACTCAAATACCACCTGCCCATGCAGTAGCAAGAGATGCCACCGACGTTGAGATTGTGAACACGACCCGATGCCTCTCGAAGATTTCCTGAAAACATAGAATAAAACGGTACCTAATCAACGAAAAAGAAAACGGCACATACGGAGAAAGAATAGAATAAAGCGATCAAACGAAAACGATATCCATCGAATAATCCCTACAAGGTGACCAACAACGTCCCCCCGGATCCATAATCAAATACATAGAGAGCCGTACCTGCGTCACTAACGAGAAAGACGAAAATTCGTGCATAATCAAGAGATCCATTATAGAAAACAAGAGGCGACGCGGCGAACAAACCTTTGTGGAGAGGTAAACGTCTTGAACAGCGGACCAGGAGTTGGAAGCCTTCCTCCTCAGGTCGGACAAGGCGGGGCGTAAGGCGGGGGAGGCCCCGTATCCCCCAAACCTGAGTAGCTTAACCTTCAGCATCCAGCCCTCTTCCTCGCCTCACCCCCTGTCCTGCCACTATGTATCCATGAACAGATTTCCGGCAGCGGGGAGGAGGGGAGGGGAGGAGGGGGCTACGAGTTTCAATGGTGCATGGGAAAACGTCGAGCCTTTCCCCATTTAAGGTTCAAAATAATTACATGGGAGATTATTTAAATTATCACTATACTTGTACATAGGGGTTATTTAGGAGTTAGGCATTATAAAACTTTTAATATACGGATAATTCATCGTAAAATAATCAGGGAAAAATGATTTAATCTCCTAGAATTAAATGGGAAGAAATTTCTGATTTGAGAATAACTCCTTATAAACCCTTCAGAAATTAAGATTATATTTCTTGCATTAATTGGGACAACATTACCAACGAATTTTCTAATCTCACAATGGGAATTTTGCTTTCGTCTATAAATGATAAAAATCGTCTCTTATTATTATTATTATTAAAAAAAGTATAATATTTTCATCCTTTTAAAATGTCTATTAATGATATATAACATTATTTTCAAGCTTTATAGATCTAGTATGTTTTGTAATATATCACATTTAAGGGAAAAAAATAAATTCTTAATGAGTCAATCTCAACATTTATTTGATATAATTTTAAATTCTTAATACTTGCAATAGTAGCATCTAAATGACACTTAGTCTTACAACTAGATCATAAGTTTTCTCATAATCTATTCCTTCATATCATATCATTGAGCTACATGTTTAGCTTTATATATAGTTTACTTTGTACTCTTCATTTAGTTTATTCCTAAATATCCCTTTTGTTCCTATAACTCTATGATGACTTAGTTTAGTATCAAGGTACTAAACTTCTTTCTTTTCAAATTATTGAAGTTTTTTTTATCTACAAGAGATTCATTAGTATTGTTGATTTGTATTTCAAAAGGCCATAAATCATCAATCTATCTTCAAAGATGATCTAGTTTTAACTTCATCCTCCACATCTCCCATAATATTTTTCTTTAAGTGGTCTTCTATAAACTTTCATTCTTTTAGTAGTTTTTCATTTTCAAGATTAGGTTATAGTAAAGCAATCTTATTATCATTTGTTTCATTAATTCCCACTAATGTCCATTCCATTTGATCTAGATTCTTCCACTTATCCTGATAATAGTTATTCAGCTCCTGCATATTAGGGAACTTACATATGATGAATCTGAGAGATCATTTGCTCTAGATGCATTAAGTGAAGATAGGGTACATGACTATATCTTGAGTTACATAAGAAAGCCTTTTCTCTACCACATTTAGCTTTGAGTCAAGCTACCTCTCATGTTAATTGACGTGACTTAGTCATTGTATAGTAAATCACGTAAATTTAAAATTTATAAAAGTAGAAAATACAAATTTTTAGATATTTAGAAGTATTTCTAAACAAATATATCAATTATAATTCAATAAATATTCTAAAAATAGTGGTAATTTTTTAGGTCGATCACAGAAATGTAATATAATATCATGTAATTATTCAATTTTTTTTTCAAAGAATACTATTTTCTATGAATTTTATACTAAGAAATGAAAATAAAATATATTAAAATTCACAAAAAAGGGAAATAAGGGTGTAGATGTTAGGATGACGTCAGCGCCTGGCAAATGCGAATTAGGCAGAAACAGAGTTCTACCTGGTGATTCTTATGTAAGTGATTATAGATGATTTAATTGATCAAATTAAGATCTTTTGAAGCCGAAAGAATCGTAATTGAATGAAGTATATCTTGGTAAATTTAAATCACACAAATTATCACTAAATGAAACGGAAATTAAGTTGAAAGCAGGAAAACAAAGTTCTAGCATCGCGGCTGCGATGCGTCGACGATGCATTGGAATCCTAAGCATTCGGGAGGATCATTGTATAGTATTCATGACCTCGAAGGTTCTCCTTAAACAAGGATGACTAGGCAATCTCTAGATCTATTTGCAAAGTATAGAGATCAATGAAATGGGTCGTCGAATCGTCTCTGGCAGTTGTCACCTAGCGGAGCGAAAAACTGGCAACTTTGCAGCTCTCTAGCAACTGTCACCTAACGAAGATGAGCTAAATAGAGGTGGGGCGGGGCGTGTGTTAAAGAGCTTCATCATCAGATCCGCACAACAAGAGGAGGCTCTTCATCACATTTGGTACGCTCTTAGGAGGTGGCGACTCACCTCTTAGCGGATCGTCCTCTTTCCGACGACGACTTGTTCATCGATCAATCGGACATGTTTTACTCGATGGATTCGTGATCCTTTTATCACGAATTGTTCAACAATTTTAGTAACAATGCTTTGTAATTCACGTTGACGAAATTTTCGCTGATGATCTAGCAATTATGACGGCTTAATCCTTGATCGGCGATCTACAGAAAAGTCACAATAATCAGATAAAAAATATGAGTTTTAGCTCTAGAAGGACTCGAGCCCACATTAGTTGTCAGCTTGCATGAAATAGATTGAAATAAGTACTCTAATACCTTTATCAAATGACATCATCATGGTATATCTCTATTATAAGAAAAGGGTATTGTAGGTATTAAAATCATTGAAGCCTTTCTAAGGAAGGTGTGACGTGGGTTTAGTCCTACATCGCTTGTGCGCCGAAGTTTCGGGCGAATATATACTAATATTACATTTGCAAGTAAGTCACTTTCTCCCACATGTATGACCACTCCTTGCCCCACAACTGGCTGGCCACTAGTGACATGGAAGGGAAGTGGCGCACACGTGCCCCCATCAGTCCTAGCTACTTGAGCCCTTACTCATGGCTCCTCCTTGACTATGCTTCCAACCTGCTTGGGGGCCCGGTTGGCCGGCGAGTACCCTCCATTTTACTATATTTTTATTTTTATTTCTTTTCCTTCATTTATCTCAAAAGTAAGACTATAAAAATCATATAAATTTGTATAAAATTACATAATTAGCTAAAAATTCATATTAATCAACTGAAAACCACTTTTCACACTTTAACACAAATATAAGTCTATTTATCATGAGTTAAGGCTAAAACTATATTATTTACTAATTATTAACTCATGATAATGAAGACTTATCACTAATCATCAATTTCTTTCCTTATTTGATCAATAGCTTGCATTAACTATGTGGTTATGCACTCTTCAAGGTTTTGAACTTTTTAAGTAAATTTCTTCAATACTTTTTTGGACCACTTTCTTAAACCATCCTTTCTATTACTCAAGATAAAGCATTTGCATCTAAATAGTTTGAAGTAACTCATAAAAGCCTTTTTTAAAATTAATTTATATAAGGGTTTTCTAACTTTCGACTTAATAACTTGCTTTACCACATATCATGCAATGTTTATGGCCTCTACTGAAAAGTAATTTGTTGAATGTCTTTTACCATATAACATGGAGCACATCTCATCTCATTGCCACTATTGCCATTGGTTTAATGCAATTTATGTTCCAATGATGTAATCCTTGGAAGAGTTTGTTTCAACATGTCATCCATATCCTAAAATTAAAAAACAATACCTGTCTTAGATAAAGTGATTACTTCATGAACAATGTCACTAATAAGATTGACTCATCCACAAGACATAGAATAACTGAGTTTGAGACCCATAACCTTGCTCTAAAATAACATATTGTGGTGAAAGTTAGGAAAGATAACAATCAAGCTCAATCATTACCAATGCATGAGATCCTTCATCTTTGAATAGCAAAGAATAATTTTGACTAGCTTTGAATTCTCAAGGATCAAAATGATGCCCCTTGAATTAGCAAGAGTTGTCTAAAGTCACAAATGAACAAAAATCTCACTAAAACTTATCATTGGTTCCTATGAACTTCCAGCTTGATGGGCTTCGAATAGGTTAAAAATGTTGTTACTCTCCCATAAAATTAGATTATAGAACAAAATAATAGAAAAATATATTAATAGGAAAAAGTTATATATATTACTAATTTAATGCATTATCTATAATGGTTTGGGCCTACTTGTTTGACTTTTGGGGTTAAACTAGTTTTGGGATGGCCAAGAATTTGAGTCCTTGTTTTTATGTTTTTAGGCTACATATGTCAACAATTTTGGATAATTCTTGTTTCTTGAAGTTGTGTTCTACATTTTTATAATGGGCCTACCACATACAACTTGAGTAGACTATCTTTGTGATTATGGATCATTTTATTAGGATGGCACATTGTTGCTTGAAAGAAAATAAATGATGCATTACAAGTACTCACTTATTTTTCAAGAAAGTGACTAGTTTGAGAGAAAGGGTCCCATAGCTTATCACCTTTGATTGAGATACATGTTATTTTTCCACTTTTGGTGTATTCTTTAGAGGATATTTGATTCATGATTTAAATTTAGTTGTACAAATCACCTCTAAATTGATGGCTAAAATGAGGTGATAAATAACATATCTATGAATTTGATCAATTGCTTTTTAAGAAATAAATCAAAGCAATAAGACTTGGCCTATGCTAAAGAATAATTTTCATTAAAAAATGGTCAAAGACTCCACAAATTGATCTCCATATACTACTATTATTTATTTTCCTTCAAAACTTGCTTGAGATTTGGTTCATGTACTAGGACATTCAAGAACAAGTATAATAGATAATAATATGGCAAATCATATCCAATAATTTTATGAAAGTGTAAATACTGTCTTCTTTCATACATGCATAGTAATTATTAGGCAATATTCAATTTAGCTAATAAATTCTAGATAATATTATAGAAAAATACCTAGATATTATCCTACGAAAAGTTTCAATAACTTTAAATAATCATTTTGAAGAATATGTAATCATCTTGGTGATTTTCAAGGGTCATGAGAATATTCAGTCGAGCTGGTAATATAAAATTATCATTTTATATCTGTTCTTGACTTGTACATAATTTAGGGCTTTTTGTAGTAAAAATCATCAAAATTATCGAAATATTTAATTCTATAATCATAAAACTTATTAATCTATTCTTCTATATGTTATGATCATCATTAAAACATGTGCAACTCCTAAGGCCATCACATATAACAATTATGGTATGTTTAAAGCTTATAGAACATTAAGTTAGTGTAGTACCAACTATTGTGGTTGATTCTCATGACACCAATCTAGGTGAGGAATAGAGAAGAATAGAGATTCAATAACAGAAAATGAAAAAAGAATCAATCAAAAGAAGATTAAAGTTCTAAGTTGGAAATCCTAGATACCTTGGTGACTATTTGAGAGGGTTACTACTCTCCACTCAGTCCTAAGGACTCCACACCCCTCTTCCTTCTCTTGTTCCCTCCTCTTTGCTCTTATGTCTCTTTGAATATTTGATAAAATCTATTCTAATTTAAGTTTTCATCCTTTGGCCCCTCCTTATTAGGTTCGATGTGGCTAAAAGTCCCAAGAGGTGGGGGTGAATTGATTTCCTATGTTTTTCTGTTCTATTATACTATTCTGCCTATGTATATGTGTCAATACTAGTTCTAACATAATGTCTTAGATATATATGTAGATTCATTGAAATCAGTTCTCTTTTTCTCATGGGCTCACTATGGTCTCTCTCTCTTTCACTTGTAACTATGAGGGATACAAGAGTTCACTGAGCTATGTCTAATCTTGGAAGATTCACTTATCAGATTTTTCTATTTCATTCTAGAAACATAGTTGATTTCATCAAATTAGTGGCTCAAACATCTCTATTCAATCTCCACACAGATTGCACCCCTCATGAATAAGTTTTTACTCTCAACACTATATACCTAAGTCAATACATTCGTCTCTTCAAAAACAATACCCTCCATAGACATTTTCTAACTCTCAACACCTTATGCCTTAGCCTAACCCTTTTTCTACTCACAACTCAAGTTATCTTAGGACCTAATGAAGAGAGTCAACATTCATTGTAATTTGTTGACTTGTAGATCACTAAAGTTCATAAATGATGTGGGTAAATGACGTGACTTAGTCGTTATATAATAAATTATGTAAATTAAAATTTTATAAAACTAGAAATACTAATATTTAAATATTTAAAAATATTTCTAAATAAATATATCAATTATAATTTAATAAAAGTTTTAAAAATAATAGAAAATTTTCAGGTTGATCACAAGAATGTAAAATAATATCAGGTAATTGTTCAAAATTTTCTTCAAAGAATACAATTTTTTACAAATTTTATACTAAGAAATTAAAATGAAATATATTTAAAATTCACAAAAAGGAGAAATAAGGGTGTAGACGTTAGGATGATGTCAGTGCCCGACAAACCTGAATCAGATAGAAGTAGAGTTCTATCTAACAATTTTTACGTAAGTGATTATAGACGATTTAATTGATCAAATTAAGATCTGTAAAAGTCAAAAGAATCGTAATTAAATGAAGAATAGTTTGGTAAATTTAAATCACACAAATTATCATTAAATAAAGTGAAAATTAATTTGAAAGTAGGAAAATAAAGTTCTGAGGTCACGGCGGCGATGCGTTGATGATACATCAAAATCTTGTACATTCGGGAGGATTGTCATGTAATGTCCATGGCCTCAAAGGCTCTCCTTGGACAAGGATGACATGGGCAATCTCTAAACTTCTTACGAAGTTCAAAGATCAATGAAATGGGTCATTGAATTATTTCTGATGATTGTCATTTGGCAAAGTAGAGAAAGATGACGACTTTGCAGCTCTCCAACAGCTGTCACCCAACGGAAAAGAACTAGATGGAGGTGGGGCGTGTGTTAGAGAGCTTCATCCTCAAGTCTATATAGCAAGAGGAGGCTCTTCATCGATTCTGGTACGCTCTTAAGAGGTAGCGACTTGTCTCTCAATAGATTGTCCTCTTCCTGATGACGGCTTGTTTGTCGATCAATTGAAGATGCTTCATCGATTCATGATCTTTTTATTACAAATCGTTCAACAATTTTAGTAACAATACTTTACAAATCGTGTCGACGAGATTTTCGCCGATGATCGAGCAATTCTAGCAACTTAATCCTTCACTAGCGATCTACAAGAAAGTTGCAATTTAATCAAATAAAAGTATGTGTTTTGACTCTAGTAAGATTCAAACCCGCACTGATCGCCCATCTATATGAGAGAGATTAAAATACTTTTATTTTTTTCTAACAACCAAAAATTTGTCATTTCCATGGCTACAATGTGCTCCAATAACTAACTCCCATTTTGCTCTTTCTGTATTTTTTCCTCTTACAGAAAGCTTAATCGCTCTTTCTCTCCTCCATGTCAACCTAGTGTCAACTTGAGTCAACTCTTTTTCAATTTAAGAGAATATCAATATCCTTTTGAGAAAAATTATTAGAAAATATAAAATAAAATCCATAAAGCATATTTTAGCTTCTTTGATGTATTTTGAGATATTAAAGGGGTCATGTTGATATTTGAGTTTGCTTCAAATGCAAAATTAACACTTTACCTTTGAGTTTATCTTCCTCAATTTGCTTTGAGTAATGGGTGAATATAGTTATACCATTTTGAGATTACAATTTTTCCCTTTTAGATGTTTTTTCATCATTAAAATTATTAAGACTTTCAGACCTAACAAGATATTCATAGGGACAAATATAGGACTTAGAATTTATTGTGATCCATCCAAGGTTTTCAATTTAAATGGATGGACGACCTGATGCCACATGTCCCAGTTAGTAGGTAGAGGAAGATTCTAACTACCTAGTACGCTGATGTGGTTGGCTCCCCGGATTTTCAATGGTGATGTAGAAGACTAAGACAAAAAATAAGAAAGGCGAAAAATTGGTGACCTAGTTAGCTTTAAAATGTAAAATTTGGAAGGACCAAAACCATTTTGATAGTTTGTTAGATTCATATGACTAGTTATTGTTCTTATGTTAATTCACTTGTATTTTGTTATGTTAACTGACCTATTTTCTAGGGGAGTGAAAATATATTTTGCCCTATTTAAAGGTCAGGTTACTATAACTTTAAAGAGACTAGAAGTGATACAATATAATTTTCTCAAGGGATTTTTCCTTGATTGTAGGATAAACAATTTTCGCGGATTTAATGGGTGTCACTTTGATATATTCTAGGGTCATCAAAATCATTCCTTCTAAACTCAGTGATTGAGGAGCTTGTATGTTGTGGACTCGAGACCCAATTTTCATTCTTCTCCTAGTTATGTTGCATCAAACAAGCATGAGATAACCTTTGAGCCCAAAATGAATGATTTAGACAAACTTTGAACCCACTAAGATAAGAGGTAATGCCTCTTGAGGCCACATGAGTTCTATTAGCTTACAATTATATATAATAAAAATTATATTATTATTTAAACTACTTGATGTTAGAGCTTGTGGGGTAATAATAAATCTTCATTATCATGAGTTAATATTTTATTGATAATATATTTTAAGTCTTAAACTCATGATAAATAAACATATATTATGTTAAATTGAGAAAAGTGGCTTTTAGTTGACTATTTATTCATTAAAGAAAAAAAGAGAAAAATATAATACAAACTTCAAAAATCAAGCAATAGAAAAAGGAAATAGAAGATAAATATTATTCTTAAATGAGTATTGATAATTTGACCATCTTGTGATTTATTTTTATGAAGGAAAAAGTGATAATAATGTGATTAGAGGAAGTAGAATCTTGATAGTTATTTAGATGAGTGTTTAAATATTAAAATGATTGGCATGAATTTTCTTACTCGATATAAGAATCTAAGGTATCTCTATTAAAATTTGTGAATGCTAAATAATTTTTGTAATTCTATTGCTAAAGGACTAGCTATGATTTAAGTTGAGGGTATAGTAAGTATTCATTATCATGAGCTAATAATTTATTAATAATATATTTTAAACCTTAACTCATAATAAATACACAGATATTTATATTAAATTGAGAAAAATGACTAAGTAGTTCATAGGAATTTTTGACTAATTATGTGATTTTATATAATTTTTATAATCATATTTTTGAAATAAAGTAAAAAGAAATAAAATAAAAATATATATAAAAAGGGGGGTGGGCTGCCATCTAGCTAGGCTTGCAAGCGGGCCAAAAGCACAATCAGGGGACCCACTAGTCAGCCGAACCTACAAACGGGTTAGAAGCACAATTGGGTGTGGAGCCATAATTATAGGGCTTGAGCGACTAAGGAATAGTCGGTGGGGCACGTGCGCATCACTCCCCTTCCATGTCATTAGTGGCCAGTTGGGTGTGGGCAAAGAGTGGTCATACACACATGAGAGAACTATATTAACCATAGTAAGAGGTATTACTATATATTTATTTCAAAACTTAGAAAATAATTGATGTGGGACTAAACTCGTTGCACTGCTCACTAGTACATTTTTAATAATTTTAATTTCTTAAATACCCCTAAATTATAAGGAGATATCCTTATGATGTTATTTGGCAAGGGTATTTATATACTTATTGAACTATCTCTCATGTAAGTGGACAACTAATGAGGGTTCAAATCTCACTATAGAAAAAAATTGTATTTTTATTTGATTAAATCATAATTTTCTTATAGAGTGCTAACTAATGATTAAGCTATCATAATCATTCAATCATTGGTGAAAATATTATCGACACGATTTGTAGAGCATTATTACCAACTAACAAAGGATTCTAAATAAAAAGATCACTGAATCTATCAAGAAAATTATCTTCAATTAACTGATGAACAAATTGTCATCTAGAAGAAGACGATCTACTAAGGGATGAGTCGTCACCTCTTAAAAGTGTATTAGATGTGGTGAAAAACCTCTTGTTACTATGTAGACCTCAGTGAAACTTCATTAGATGTGTCACACCTCTATCTAACTTCTCTCTATTAGGTGATAGCTATTGCAAATTCAAAAGTCATTATTTTTTTGCACTACTAGGTGAGAATCATTGAAGATGATTCATCAATCTATTTCATTGATTTCTAGACTCCACAAGAAGATTCAGAGATCGTTCATGTCTTACATATACAAAGAGAGCCTTTGAGACCATCGACATTGTACAACGATCCTCCTAAACATATAAAATTTCAACAATCAATACTGCAAAGTCAAAACTTTATATTTTCTATATTAAACTTAATTTTTATTTAATTTAGTAAGATTTTGTGTGATTTCAAGTTTCAAAAACCTTCTTAACTCAATTATGATTCTTTTATTGTTTACATATCTTAATTTGATCAATTAAATCATCTATAATTCTTTCGTAAGAATCATCATGTAAAACTTTATTTTCATCTAAATCATGTTCGTCAAAGAATAAACATCATCATATCTTCACACCCAATTTTTTAAAAAGAATTTTTAAATATATTTTATATTTATTATTTATTTTAAAAATTATAAAAAGTTTTAATATTCGTGAATTTTTTTGAAATATTACCCTATATGATCTTACATCCTTGTGATCGATTAAGAAATTTCTAATTATGTTTGAAAGCTTTTATAGAATTGTAATTGATTTATTTGTTCTGAAATATTTCTAAAAATCTAAAAAATAATATTTTCTAGTTTTATAATTTTAAGTTTGCATGATTTATTATTCAAAAATTATGTCACATCAAATTTTGGTGCTGTTGTTGAGAATGTATTATATAATATTTAGTATTTTGCTATTTTTCTCGTAAAGTACACAAAAATAATTTCATTCTTGTTACACAAAAATATGGTCAATGCAATTCATGGAGCATCATTACCAACTGATGAATGATTTGAGCTAAAAAGAATGCGAATGTATCATGAAAATCATTTTTGGTTGATCAACGAATGAGTTATTGTTAAAAAGACGACGATCAACTGAAAGATGAGTTGCCACCTCTTGAGAATGTATCAGATATGATGAAGAACTTTTTTTTATTGTACGAACTTGAGGATGAAACTCCCTAAGACACACTCCAATTTCATCTAGTTATCTTCGTCTGGTGATAGTCATCGGAGATTCAAAAGTCATTAATTTTATGTTCTGTCAGATAACAACCATTAGAGATAATTTGTTGACTAATTTCATTGATTTCTAGACTTCTCAAAAAACATTTTGAAGTCTAAGGAGAACTGTTGAGGTCATGTACATCACAAGACAATCTTTTCAAACATACAAAATTTCTGTCAATTGTTACTATGAAGTTAGAACTTTATATTTCTTACTTTAAACTTAATTTTTACTTAATTTAATGATATTTTTTGTGATTTCAAGTTTCGAAAACCTTCATCATTAAATTACGATTCGTTTGACTTTTATATATCTTAATTTAATTAATTAAATTACATGTAATTATTTCTGTAAGAATCACCAAGTAGAATTCTAATTCGCCCATGTTCATTAGGGAACTGACATCATCTTAATGTATGTACTCAAAGTTTCTTTTTTCATAAATTGTTAATTATATTTTATATTTATCATTTAATCTAAAAAAATTAAAAAAATTATTTTTTGAAGAAAATTATAAAATATTACCATATATTATTTTACATTCCTATGATTGACTTTCAATTTTTTTACTATTTTTAGAATAATTTATCAAATTATAATTGATTTATTTGTTCTAAAATATTTTTAAAAAAAATCTAAAAATTGATATTTTCTAGTTTTATAAATTTTAAATTTGAGTGATTTATTATACAGCGATTAAATCACATTGTGGGGTTTTTAAATAGATTAAAGTTAGTTATCACTCCTCTCATGCAAAGGATAATAATGTAAACAAGAAACAATAAAAATGAATTAAAAAGAAGATAGTCACTATTCTTATGAAACATACATCTTGTCCATACATCTTTTGGGCTGACTAGGTTGGATTTATATTTTGAATGCACTTTGCGCCTTCAAACCTTTGTGCTTCATGCTTTCACATTTTTACTATGCGATTGTATATTGAACCCGTTAGTAGTTGGAACAATGTGAGCCAAGTTGGGCCTGGCTACAAGTTCTGAATATTCCCTCTTTTCCCAAGTCATGTTCTACATCACACATTGTGAGTTACATGTCTAGAGAATTAGTGCCAACTGGCTGCATTGCTAATACTTCATAAGAGGTAAAATAGGAAATACAATGATGGTTGTCAATTTGCATTTTATTTTAGCATACGGTAAAAATTCAGTCCAATATATATTTTTATGAGCCAAAATGATATGTAAAAATTGTATGTATGTATTATTAGTAAGGTAAGTTGAAACAAATCATCTCATAAGATCCTAGGAGAGGATAGTCTTAGATCAGTTTAGGCAATCAATGACAATAGATAGTATGATTGGGAAATATTCTCATAAAATAAGTATATTCTCGGTATATTTACTATATTCGGGTTAATTGAAGTTAAGTTCGAGCGGACAAACGAGCCTGAAATAAGGGTTTGGTCTGGATAAGACCGGGATTGGTGGGCCTCAGCTTCCACTAATCCATCATTCGTGCATATTTTCGTGTACGAATATTTTTCTACAGATTATACATGAACAGATAAACGTTGACGACAGAAGGGCCCCACGTCTCTCTGCCCTAAAAATGGTCCCACGTCATTCCCGCGTTTATCATCTTTTTCGCTCCCGCCCCTCTATCCTCATCCACGTGGCACCAGGTGTCTGTGGTCGTCGACGCCTAACGTGATACAGAGAGAGAGGGAGGGAGGGCGGGCGGTGGCGCTGATTGGCCGACACGTGGGCCCACTTGCGCCGTTGATTCTCGCCCTCTGACGATGCGTGCGCCGCTTGCGACACTTTCGCGGCGTGCCGCCTTGTCGTCCGGACAAAGCAAGATCACAACCTGTCATCATGGCAGCCGTTGATCACATCGGTGTCCGGTCAAGCGGACGGTGATGAGACGTTCTTCATCGACGCCGCCGACCTCTCAGCAAGCGGATATTAGTTAAAATTTCACTCTTTTTTTTTACGGGAAAAATAAATCCACTAGTCCTCTAAATATATTAATTTAAAATGATCATAATGAGAGAAAAAAAGACGTCCGGGGAGAAATCCCAGTGTCGAGATCTGGATAGGAGAGCTTCCCCATCACCGTTGATTCGATGTACCAGAGAGAGGGATTAAAAAATCCCTGAAGGGCCCACGTGATGGACGGCCGAAATGGCGGTCTTTGAGCGGCCCGTCGCCTGCGCCGTTTACACGGAATACGAAGACGAGATGAGAGAGCGACAAAAGGAAAGGTGGGTTGAGCTTGTAGAGAGAGAGAGAGAGGAAGAGAGAGAGAGAGAAAGGGGGAAGAGAAGAAGTGGAGCAGGAGCGAGGGGGGCGGCAGCGGCGGCGGCGGCGGATTGGGGGGGATCCGGGCGGCGATCTTGGACCGTTGGGGCGGACAGGAAGCTCCCTTCCGCTGCTCGTCCTCCGCCGCCTTCTCTCGGTCGTCGTCGTCGTCGTCGTCGTCGTCGTCGTCGTTCGTCTTCTCCAGGATCCGATCGCCGCCGGTGGTGGTGGTGGTGGTGTTGCGGCGAGATGAGGAAGGGGAGGGGAGCGGCGGAGGCGCCGGGTACGGGCGCAGGTGGCGGATCGGACGAAGAGACGAGGTTCCGGGGGGTCCGGAGACGGCCGTGGGGGAGGTTCGCGGCGGAGATCAGAGATCCTGTGAAGAAGACGCGCGTCTGGCTTGGCACCTTCGACTCCGCCGAGGACGCCGCCAGGGCCTACGACGTCGCCGCGCTAGCCCTCCGCGGCTCCAAGGCGAGGACCAACTTTTCCCCCGCCGCCGCCGCTGCTGCGGCGCAGCCGCCTCTATCCGTGGTCGGCCTCTCTCCCCACCGCCGGCGGCACCGCCAGAAGCAACACCACCAGGGGCCTCTGCAGCAGCAGCGACCGACCAGCAGCTGCCACAGTAGCACCGTGGAATCCTTCAGCGGCCCGAAGATGTCCGGGACTCCCCTGCGGCATTCAGATCCGCCGCCACGGCCACCGCGTGCTCTAGCCGGCGACGAGGATTGCCACAGCGACTGCGGATCCTCCTCCACCGTCGTGGACGACGACGACGGTGGCGGCATCGGAGTGTTCTCTTCTCTGCAGCGCCACCTTCCACCGATCCATCTGCCCTTCGACCTCAACCTCCCTCCTGCCGACGACGAACACCAGTGCGCCGGCGGCCTTCGACTCTGAATCATCTTCCGAAACTAGACAGAATCAAGGGGGAATCGGTTTTTTTTCTCTTCTCCTTTCTAGTTTTTCTTTTCTGTGATGATCTCTTCCCTTTGGTTGCTTCCGTCGGGCTGATTTCCCGCCGCCGTAGATGAATGAGATCGAGCTTGAGAGAAACCAGCTGAATGAGCCATCCATCCATCTGCGATTTCTCGCTTCCCCATACACCGCGAGCCGAATCTATCAATCGAGTGAAAGGCTTGACGAGATTGACGAAGAAATCCGGCCCTGATCTTGCTGATCAAGCGTTGGATTGGTTCCAGTTTCATTCCCAATTTTTTTCTTCCATTGTATAGAAATCTGTCTTCTACTCCACGTCCAGAAATAGACGGCATCCTCTTCATCTTCTTCCTCCGCCTTCGAGGATGCTTCTGCCCTCCGCGATTTCTGCCCATGGATGTTAGACCTGCGTCCGAGTGTACATCGTCCAACAGTGGGCGGCGAACGACGCCATGAATGGATCTTAGAGTCTTCTGCAAAATGAAGGAAGTTTGAATCATCGACAGAGAAAAAAAAAAACTTAGTCCAGAGTATAAACTGTAAGGATGGAAGGGAAGTATCAGTTTTTCGATCAAAAGCGATGCATAAATGGATGCAATCACATCGCGAGTAGGATGTGGAGGGAAAAATCATTTTCGGGTCCAGATCGAGGCAGAAATTCCTTCAATTTGTAGCCTGAGAAATTAAACATAGGGTATCATTAGGAATCCTGATAATTTTTCTGCAATAGTGAGCACTATTATTTTGAAAATGAAGAACTATTAATTCTGAAACAGATCTCCGTGATATTTACTAGGCATTGTTATTGAAAATTTAACACCCAAACAAGATTCATTTTGGCGTTTGGATTGCCTTGGATTTCCGATTTAGCTTGGTCATTCATTGCCAAACCAAGTCTGCCTAGAGGCGTACCTTAAGAGTTCATTGAGCCCTTGTGCTTTCCTAGGGGCCAGTGTGATGCCCAAAGTATGGAGGAATGAGGTTCTTGGAGTGAAGTAGGATTGGCAGCATGAAGCCATGCATTGGTTCATGTTGGCATGGTATGGTATACATGACAATGCATCATACATGCGAAGGTATGCAATGTCATAGCATGTTTTTCACACATGAGCAATAGAGGCTAACAAGCATGACTCTATGTGAGCTAGAAAATTGCCTAGTGAACCACATAGAATTCATGCTCATCACTTTAGTCTAACAAGTACAACTTGTGTAGTGTTGTAACTTGTGTGGTGGCATGAGATAGTGTGGTGGTCCATGTGAGGGCAAATGTGGCATCCCTACTCTATAGTACATCATGTGCATGGAGGTGTGCAATGGTATAATGCAGCACACACAAGCAATAGAGGTTTGCATATATGACTTAGGAAGATGGCACCACTAAGTCTAAGTGAAGTTTAATGCAGTTGTATGTGAACCTCATAGGCAAATCATGCACAATACTCGTAGATGAAAAACGTATATGCGGCTTGTTTGTATATGTGTGTGGCTCAAGTGAATGACTATGTCAGCACATAATGAAGTTTAGGGGATCTTATGGACCTCAAAAGTTAGTGACACATGATGTAATAGGTCATTGGATTGAACAGTGCCTTGTAGGAGGAACAGCCTAATCATGGAGCTCATGAGACAACCAAATGCAGAGATGCGACCCAATAGCATAGACTCCTGAGTAGACTTGGGGCCTCATGTTATGTATAAGGGAGCAAAGGAGAAAATAACAACAAGAATTTTGTCAAGCTTGAGCAGAGGTTCAGGGTTCTTTGAAAGACTGTTGAGGTTAGGGTTTCCACCAAAACCCTAACCCTCTTTCTATCTCATCTCTCTTCTCTCTCTCTCTCACTTCCTAGTAACCAAGTGTTACCCCCATCAGGTTAGTAACAATTGGTGTCAAAGCTGGAACCTGCGGCTATGATGCCAAAGATCAATGAGAATCGTTGGGAAGCAATAGATGAGTGCATTGACAAACTACAAGGGTGTATGGATCAACTATAGTAGAACATTTCACATATAGTCAGTCAACTCTTGGAGCAGATCAAATGTCTAAAAGTCAAAGTGGCAACATCAGAGAATGGGGGCAGCAATACCAACCAGCTTGATGGCACATCAGCCAATAGGAACCCACCTAGTGCCCAAGAGTCCCAATGTACCATAGGACCCCCAGTAGTAAAACTAGGAGACTAGTGAAATGGGTAGAGGAGGTCATCAGTGGGACATTCAACCCTACCATGGGGAGAACCCTGATGGCCGGTTATTCAAAAAAAAGCTGTATTTTATCATGAACAGTGTACCAAAATAAGGGAAGGTATTGACAACAATAATGAGCTTCAAGGGGGACAACTTGTCATGGTTCTACTTGACCAATTGCCACTACCCATTCTAGAGCTGGCAAGACCTCAAGACAGCTACTATAGCAATTTTGGATTAGTGAGCTCAAGCAATCTATATCACAAGGTCCTGAACCTCAAACAAGAAGGGACCATGGTAGAGTACAAGCATGATTTTGAAGTCCTATCAACATTTCCACCAAGGATTTTGGAAGACATAACAGAAAAAAACTTTTCAAGGGGTTAAAAGAAGACATCATCTCATAGCTGACCATGTTTTAATTGATAGGGCTATGCAAAGTTATGAAGATGACACAATTGGTTGAGGAGTGGGTGGAGACTCTGTGGACTGCATGGAATCTTGACATTGGCAATTTCAAGCAAGCACATTCCACGGGCCCTTTTGGAGGCCTACAATGAAAGTTTAAGGGCAGTCACCCCATTTCATCTACAACTAGAAGCACAGAAAGAAGTAGGGCAGACAATTTAATTCCACATGCAGTGGGTAGCTAGAACTTAGTGATAGGAAATTTCTCCCAACCCTTTTCTACATAGAACAAGAAGAGTATGAGGAAGATCTAGCTAACAGATGTTGGGCTATAAATGTGAAGAGACAATAGTGTTTTTTCATTGTAATAAGAAATTCACACATGGACACCACTACAAGAAGGAACTTACAAATTTTATTGGTCCACAAGGATGATCAGTTTGTGAATAAAGAGGACCAAGTGCATGAAAAAGTGACAAAAACCCTAACCCTCAAAGGAACCAACCAACAAAATTGAGTTAGTGGTCGATGTATCTCTAAACTGAGTTATTGGGTTTGGCCTCTTGATAAGCTCAATTTAGGGTTGCATAGTCATTGTTATGCTTTGAGTTTATACAAAATAATTATATTCATTTATCCTCCACTGATCTATTTTATTATATAAATAGGCCAAGTAAGGGGTTGATCCTCAAGGAATTGGGATTTATATTCGTAATATTATTTAAGCTAAAAAGGTAGGTAAAAATTTAGAAGGATAGGATGGGGAGGAAAGAATAATAGAAGAAAAGAATGAAAATCCTGATTTTCGTGGTTGTGGATGAATCCAAGAAAATCAAGATTCTGATTTTAGAATTGCGAAACATTTTAGACACTCCTACTTAAGGCTTAAGGGAATGATTTGAAAGAAAAAAAGATGATGAAAGGCGAGAGGCTCAAGAAGATCTTGATCTTCGTCGGAAGATCAAGATATCCATGATCTCAAGAGGGATGGTCAGACTAGGGTTCAATTTTCTGAGGAACAGAAATGAAGCTGGAGAGAACCAGTCTTATTGGATAATAGGGGATGAACCACAAATTTCGTGACCTGAAGTGCATACCTTGGGCCTGTATATTTCGCCCAAACCAAGTAGTTTTCTCCAGCAAGAATGGACTTGAAAGATCAAGAACAAAACTTGCAATAATTCACCTCCATTTAGGTTTATCAACCTAGATCCTGGGAAAGCCTTTTCCTATGGCCAGCCTTTGCTTGGGCAATCTCCAACATGCTGCCAAAATAAAGAAAAAAGATATTTTATACATAGGGATGTATTTTGTAAAGAACCCTCTCCCTTTCCTATTATCTTCCATGCCCTTCTCCTTCCTTCCTTTGCTTGGGCACTCGTGAGATCTCAAATTCGTGACCCATCTTAGAGAAGGAAGTTGAGGAGATATTGGGTTGGAACATGTCATGCGTACTCCCCACTCCTCCTTCAAGCCTCTCCTGGCCCACAACACTCTACATGATCTCTTGCTTTCAGCCCAATAACCTTCAAGCCCTTAAACTAATCACTTAATTAAATTTACCCAATTCATGCACATAACATATTAAAAAACTATTAATCAATAATAACACTATTTGACTTCTAAGAAATCAAATAAGTTAGCCATAAGAAAAATAATCAATAGTGTTCACATGTGCATGAAAATAGAGTAGGATACTTTAAGGTTAATATTAACAAGATAGCATAAATTTCCTATATATTTATATCATTAATAATTCTATAGTAATCATGAAATTTGTATATATGTATATATCAACAGATTTTCCATGAGAACTTATAAGCAAGGAGTCATTACTCATATTCGTAGTTATAATGTTACTAACATGATCTTGGCAAATTTTTGAGCTCAAAAGCATATGAAATCATAGGTATTATCACTATATTTATCATGTTATCACATGATGTAACCCAAAAACTGTTGTCAAATGAAGAATGAAAGGTTTTTGACTCAAGTGGAGGAACTAATAAGATCTGTGTCGAAAAGACTAAAAAATAATAAAATCAAGTGCAATGAAGTTTTAGACCAACTCAAGTGAATCAGAGATTCAAGAGATGTGAATACTATCTTTTGCTCAAATTCAGCTTCAAATGGCTCACTAAGAGATTGGGTCACATGATTAGTGAGCTTAAATCTTATAATTCTCACATTTTATTCATGTAAAATAATCCCCCTATTCTTTTAAGGGTGTTCCTATTTCTTAGGGGCCTTCTAATAGAATCCTCCTTCATAGGAATGTCTAATCTATTTTCTTCTCCCTATGTTTTAGGATCATAACAGATTTCCTCTTTTATAGGTTAGTTATAACTAATTTTTGGCCTATAAATAGGGCCCCCCTTGTAGCCCAAGAAGCATGTTTTTATCAATCAATTTCGAGTTCCCTTCCTTTTTGAAAGGTCTCACCTTCTACTAGTGGATTCCAGTATCCCTATGGACTCAAGGAGCCATTTTTGATCTTGTGGACTTAGGATCAACCCCTTGTGGACTTAAGGGGTGAAATCTCTTCGTTTTGTGAATTCAAGGCAAGGAGTTTTTCAACCAAGACATGTTCCTTTTAGATTCAAGGTCATGATTTTGCTTTCAAAATACATAGTCAAAGCTAAAACGTGATCAAGTTATCAATTCTTCAAATTTCTACTGCATCATCACATCTCCTATATGATGAAAATAAGATAAACAATTGGGTCTAGATGAAATCTAGTTGAAGAATTGTAGTTACCAACATGAGTGATGAATAGATACTCAATAATCATGGGTAGCTTGATTGCAAAAAAGAAAGGATTAAACAAGAGGCTTCAACTGGAAATTGAATGGCTGAAGATAGTTGAAGACTTCCTTCTACTACAGCTAATAGCAACCTTATCCTTAAAATGAAATGAATGAGAATGGTGGGCTTCATGGAGCTTCACTAGGGCTTCCTATTGATGTGGTTTAGGGTGGGAGAAAGATCATCTTCAAAAGCGAACCCAATCTATGCACAGCCAAGAGGACATTAGCGGTTATGATTGAAGAATAGGAGCTAGAGAAAATCAATGTACCAGATCAAATACAAAGTGTAGAGTTAGACCTAACATTTCAACAGTACACACTACCAAATCACCTCACTAAGGCTCCAATTGAAACAAAATGAAAGCTCCAAGAAGAGAATGCCTTGTTGATTGTGGGTTCTAAGAACCACTCTGTGAAAAATTTCGTTTGATACAATAATTGTAATAGAAGCTTCCAACAGTCTTCAAGATGCCAACCTCCATGCCATTGTAAAGAGACATTGGCTATGTCATCAGCTTGAAGTTCAACTCTAACTTATTAGATCAAAGGCCACATAGGTACTGTCATTTGCAGAAGAATTTAATTGAGTAGCTGGTGCAAGAAATGAGTGTTGCAAGCATCATCAAATTGTTGGTTAACCCTTTCGCTAGCCCTATCTTCCTTATTAAAAAGGATGGTAAGTGGTAATTGTCTTGATTATAGGAACACTAAATCAAATGAAGATTTCCAATTAGTTTTCAATACCCATAGTCAAAAACTTGTTCGATGAACCTATG